CAATTGTCATAATTCACCCCATGGAAAAAAAATTAACATAAGGAAAAGAACTGATGTTTTCTTTCAAGTGAAACTATTCGCCGTTGTTTTGTTAGCGATGACAATTTCATGTACTCCGTCCACATGATAACATCGGACCAAATTCTGAAAATAAAATACGGACACAATGCTATCGGCATATCGTTTACAAGAGTACATATAATTGTTCATGTTACATTCCAGCCTTGTACCTTGATGAAAATATATAGGAGGATAATAACTAGGTAGGACTATATCTATCTTTCCTGAATAATTATGACCAATTTTTTTTTTTAGAAAACAATTCAACATTACGTGTACTTCACACGGACCAAAATCAGCTTATTCCGTTCGTAGAACTTTTTGGTGGAACAAGGAATATAAAATTAGCAGTGTTTTACTTTGTGGCTAATATACGCAAAGGATAAATACACTGGCATTTGTTGTTCATTATCCATTTGGTGTTAAAAAAACAGTACACAACCACGATTATTGTGTGCAAGATTGACGAAATGCCCAGTAATTACAGTGGGGGTGGGGAGGGGACTGCAAAGAAAATACTATATTTATGTCCCTATAAGATCACGAATCAAATTGCCGTAAAAAAAGTGCTGCTTCACTTCATAAATCTTGGGCGTGCTAAAGGCGGAATGCATCGCTGTAGATTATTGAAACAAACCTGAAATAATACACGACGTTCTGTCATAGATCACCAGAAAATAACTTTGACACATGGGCCCGATATTTCTTATTCTTCAAAATTTCAGCAACCTGCGTTAAACATATTTTTTTCAGTACCATATCTTCAAAGGAAGCCTAAGCCTTCCGTTATTAAGCGGTTTTCCAGGTTTCTTTTCCGTGTTCAAGAAACTTAAGACTCTGTATTGACTTCCCCAATGACACTCACTTTCAAGTAAAAATGACAAACGGGCGACCTTAAACGTTTTTCCATGTAAAATTAATCAACGGATGCGGACACAACCAATGATAAGATATAACTGATAAGATAGCATGATAAAAGTGATGATAATCATGAATGAATTGTTTGCTTCGTGAACCGAAAATCTCTCCGACGATTCCATTCCCTCTTTTCCAGCACTCGGACCAAATTTCCACCGGCAAGCGGCTCCGGCTCCCGCTTGCGCGGGCCTGGTCCCGTGGTGCCGTCTGGCGGTGTTGCGGCTCGACTTTACGGCGTGCCGTACTGGTGGTAATGCGGTGGGCCCAACGGGCTGGTGCTTAGGATCTCGTAGCCTTCGAAGGACCGGCCACTTGGTGCTGTCTGCCGCCGTGGGTAGTGGTGTGGCGGTGGCGAGCCTAGCCCGCCAGATAATCCACTGGAGTCAAGATAAAAAAACACAACTCTCTAATTTCCAGAGTGAAAATTCGCTCTATATAATGCACGCAAACGAAATTAGGGAGCAGACGATTTAGACTTTCATTCATTCTATCGAAAAGATCGAGTTTTCACTGGAGTATCCACTGGAGTTATTCTTTTTCAAAATATATCAAAACATTTTGTATATATTTTCACAAGAAATCAACTATTCCAGAGTTTCACTCTAGGCCTATATGCACAGGAACGCAACCACTAAGAAATTTCAATTTTTCCATAAGAGGTAGATTTTACCTAAAAAAAAAATCAAATTTCAACAGGTCGTCTAGGCGCAACTGAAAACGAAGTATATGTTTTTTGTCAGGATTATTGAACAGAAAAGCTATATACGAGGATTATACGGTGAATAAAACACACGTCGCAAACTATAACGATCTGTGCGTGTTTTCCCATGTGACTATAGTTTCCGGTAAGTTCTCAAGAGCCAGAGAAACCATCTTGCATATTTTTTTTTAAATGCATGCAGGATGATGTCAGGATCGTGTAGCTCTTCTACATTGTGTTAGTTTCCAATGATATCACCACTCAAAATCCAAAGAAGGATGTTAAAACCTAACCCGTGTTGAAGTTCAGCCCAATGGATATCACACTTTTCGAAGAAAAATGAAAAACCAAGCACAACCTTTTGATCACAAAACACGATTTCGTCCATATAGAACCCTTAATTTCCAAACATCAGTCAATTGACTGATCGTTGGAAATCACCCACATTTCTTGATTTCTTCTGAATGACAGCAAGCCAGACGGAATAATTTCACAGGGTGTTTAGCACCAGTACCATATTTTAATCCAAGTATAAGCTTTTTGATAATAGTTCGGTATGTTACTTGTGGGATGAATGCAAATGATCCTATATGTGTCGTAAAGAAGTGCACAGCCTTCACAATAACACTGGGCCGAGTCATGCTCCTGAAAAAATTGTTCACAACAGCTAGGGCAAATAGGACAGTAATAATGGCACATCACATAACTTTTTGATAACTGCGTACATCGTGTGAAGAAAGAAAAGGTTCAAAAACTACTCGCTTTTCCTTTTAGCCTTTGTGTAATGAAAAAGTGTCAGAATGAAAAAGTGTCAGACAAAACGCTCATCATATAAACAAGTGAGATTGTGGTCACACTTAATCGGATGTTCACTCATGCAGGGCTACTATTTTCAAGTACTTCCTAACTTTCAACAGTTGACATAATAATTGTGATGTCGAAAACGATTTTTTCTTTCCATGGTTTTTCACGCATTCTATGTTCAGAATGGACGTCTGTGTTCATGTATAAATCATTTCACCGATTCTTATATGCAAATAACTTTAAGACCGTAGACCCCAAAATAGCCAGTTTTGGTATATACGTGCTTTTTCAAAATTTCCATTTTCTTTTCCGAACGAAATTTAAAGGAATATATGTCCTGTAACAAATATATTTGCTTGCTTGTTTTTGCAGGCCTTTATACAGTTTTAACAATTGGTTTTAAATGGCGCACTCCAGTTCAGAAATTGCGCACACTATTCAAACCGAATTTGGAGCGTCCCGCTTTTAATTCAAAAGTGGGAATAAATAAATGTATTACTTGTCATGGGCCGATTTTTTTTTCGTGCGATGTCTCATTGGAAAGATCATAACTAATGTAAAGCTAGATAATTATCAATTCAATTTAAAAATCTATTTTTCAAGGTGCCACACCCAAAAAGCACGTATACACCAACTGTAACTACCATTGCCGTTATAATGTGCGCGCCAAAATAAGTAAATATTTTTTTTTCACGACTGTTTTTCCTTCCACGCGTTGGATTTTTCCGGACTAGTCAGGTCAAGCCAAATAATATCCGAGAAACAGGGTATAGGTGGGAAAAATCGTCAGAAATGAATCAAAGACAACATGGCTGAAACAAACTTTTGAGTGACGAAGACCTTATGCCTGATTTTTGTGTGGGTGTGTGGACAATCTCCCGTTTCTGAAAAAAAAAATGGTTAAAAGTGAAGTTTCATAACGAGTTATTCCTATCTGCATTGCCTATTAATAGTGTGTGTATATATAGGCCTAATTTTGTTCACTTATTTTGTAGCACAATCAAGACCCCTAATGAAGATTGAATACCCTTCAACATTCCTATGCAGTGTTTTTGGAACGAGGCCAGTGGACATGATATGGTTCCCTGATTTCAATTGAGTGATAATTTTATTCAGGAGAATAAAGTTGTATTAGTCATGAACTTGGCGGGGAGGGTGGGGTGGGGGCTTTTACACACATATTGTCATTGAAAAGTTGACAGAAAAGTTGAAGGATAGGCGACTTTAAACAATACTGATTCCCCTTTTTGACGAGTCCATTTGTATTTGACGCAGAAAACTCGGCAGAGAAACAAACATTTTTCCACTTAAAGGGCATGAAGTGATTTTCTCTTCGGAACATATTCTTTTGCAATTTTCTTCTGCACGTAAGTGTATAAAAACTATTTGACATCCCTTTTGGGTTAATTGTTTTGCAAAAGTGCACTTCTTTAAACATTTAAAATTGTCCACGCTTTTCTTGACAACAGAGGGCGCTGTTGCTGTGATGTCATTTCAGGAAGATACTGTTCATTTTAGGGTTTACAGTTCAAATTACGTACCAAACATGTGCTCATTGAAAACATTTGGGAGGAAAGTTTGCTCATTGGCTTTAAATACTGCCATGTACTGGTAAAACAAGAATCACCAAAGAAAAGCAAATTGATGACAGCAAATCAACCAAATCTGGCAACTTTTTGTGCTGAAATAGCTGTAACATTGAGGTTGTCGCCTGAAATGACATCACACTTTCGCTCATGAATATATATATATATATGTATAAAACTCGCATAAGCATAAAAACCAAAAAGGCGCCAAAATGCCCTTGAAAATGGCAAAACGAAAATTGAAAATAAGGTTAAATAAGACACAAAGGTGTGTTTCCTAGGATTGCATTGAAAAAACATTACAGTGCATGCATGGGCTCTTTATGTTTGCTTTTAAAACAAGATAGCTGTTGAAAAAAAATGCATAGCTGAATGAAATGATATGCACAGTACATGTACGCAATGAGCTGCTGGCTAAGTGTATAGCGTGAGGATTCGGTCACTGATTTTAGTTACAAGAAAATTAAGAGATTTCATTTATCAAGCTAGTTTCGCCTTTGCCGTTTCCCAAACCTCGGATTGATCATCAGCCTTGCCTCCAGGCGTTTGCCTTTAGGCGACAAACTCCATTATTTCAGGCCTTGACTTTGGAAACAACATTAAACCAAGTGTCCATTTTGTTCTACCACAGGACTATCACATTCTGTGGTTCAGGACAATAAGTATGGTGTCTTTCTAGTGTGGTTCCAACATATTATGCAAATTGTTCCAGGGCCAGAGAGAAAGCCGATACTGGAAACAAAACAAAAGATTGAGAAATTGAGAAACGGCCCTAACGAACTGGGTAGTATGTGCTGGCATGCTTTGTTATCGCAACACTTGTGAGTGGCAGTTACTATCTAGCAATATCATTTTGCCTGCGAATTGTGCCAGTTTGTCAAGAAACGAGCACACTCAAGGTTTTAAACAAAAAAATAAAAGAGGACCCACAATTTCTATGAATATTTTTTTTTTGTATCTTTATTTCACCAATCCAAAAAAACATGTTTCATAACATCACTATAGGAATACTCACTAATCAAATGTGTGCTTTTTTGCATATAATTATAAAAAAGTGTCAATGTAGGGGTCCAAATTTCCACAATAATCACATTTGTCGAAATGCTAAAAAGGTAAGTATAAATAAAGGCATTTTGAGGTCAATTTTAATAGATTTTTACTTTCATGGCAGGCTCCTTTTAATTACACCTGATACTACTTGCATAATTCACTGTGATGTTGGGGTTAAAAACTGTTGTAGGGCTCAGACAATATTTGAATGATACTGTAAAGTGATGGTACAGATCCCTTTAAGCTAAAATAAATCAAATGCTCGCAAGGCAGATCTGTTCATGCCCAAAAATAGAAAGTTTTTTTTCCAGAATGTTGCCGATGAAAAAAACAAAAACAACAACCCCTTTTTTTTCCCGTTGGAAACGAAAGTGCAAGTTGAAAACTCATAAAGAGAAGAAAAAAAAAAGAGTTAAGTTTGTTAAAGAGCACAGGGAAAGCAAGCTCCAAATGTGGCACTTTCCGTACCAAGTTTCGTAGAAACTATTTGCTTAGAAGAAACAGGTTACCAGCCAATACTTCATGCATTGTACATTGTGTGTGACTGGTTCCCTGCCGATTTTTGCTAAACACATGAGTTTACTAAGCAATTTCTTTTCTGCTTAATAGCTCTGTGGACTTGACCCCTGACCCTTACGCTTGACACATTTAGGTAGTTAAAGATGATTCAGGGTTCTCACAGAAATTTTTAAACAAAATTCCTTGACAATTTCATTTCTTTTCCAGGACAAAATGAGGGCTTTCCATGGCCAATCCCTACCTATTCACAATACACTGGTCAGTCATCACACTGAAAATAAGCGTGAAAGGTAATATACAACATTTGCGAACATCAACAAAACAAAACTACCAAATTATTATGAAATACCTCACTGGACTGTGAGGGAATAATAGTCTCAAACGTCCTGTGAAATCGTGGCACCTGGTGTGCTGTCTTTTTCAAGAAAAGTGGATTTTTTTTGTATCGATTTCCAACGATGGTCTACCGATCATCGTCGGAAAAAACCCGACTTTTTTCAAATACTGCCCCAATTTACCAAAGTTAGTTAGTCCACATTTTGTTTGCAAATGGTTACACATCCGTTCCAAGCCAGCTAGTCTGGTTCCCCGACGTCTATAAATTGCTCCGTTTCGTCTGAGATCAGGGAACCAGACTACAAGAACAGCATTTGTTTTCTTGGTTTTTCCAACATCTATAAACACAAGACTTTAAATAGCTCAGTGTTTCACTATATTTGCTATAAAATACTAACCCCCAAATCTATCCGTTTCTGAAAATTACAACAAAAGCAAATGTTGTATATTAAAAGTTCTGAATGCCACTTCAACTATAGCAACTGCACTGAACGATATTACGCAACATCACACATGGGTCGTGCAGGATGCCGTGACCTTTTTTCTTTCAACTTTCAACGATTCCTTGTAAAATAACAAAATTCCATGACTCTTTTCCATGACTTTCCATGACAGCCTTAAATTCCAGGTGTTTCCGATGACTGTGAGCACCCTGATCTTTACATAAAAAAAATCTTGCTCATTAGGCAAAAGAATTTGGACGAATCGATCTAAGACCAAAATAAATTGTCTTACTGGATTCTCGATGAGTTATAAAGATGAGGCAGGGGAGGACAGCAAAGCATGATGCTAGCGTCATGAGAACAAATGATCAAATTTGCTGTCAGCTGCGAAGATACAGAACATAACAAACCTTATGCGTTGCAGGTACAGTGGAACGTCACAATACCGAACACCGCTATACCAAATATTCGGCTATACCGAACATTGTCCCTGGCTCCCAATTTTGTGTGTGTACAAAACGTACCCAACATTGTTGTTGAAAAATGTCAACAGAAGAGCGACAAGTGGCTATTATTTCCCCAACGAATAGAAGGGGACAGCCACCCATTGCTGAAGGTATTAAGCTCAAAAACCGTGTAGTTACATGATTCAATAGTCGGCACGTGTTCAAATTCGTCTTTCAGTAACTACCAGGGTGTGCAGGGTGAAGTTCTGAAAAGCGCTAATTATTGAAAATTGAGTACAGGAAGCTTAAAATCGCTATACCGAACGATCGCCATTACGAACATTTGTTGTGGATACCGCGGTGTTCGTTATAGCGGCATTCCACTGTACCGCCATGGGGGTTGCAAGGGGGCAGCAAGGGGGTGCACTTGCCCCCGCCCTTGAATAGACAAGAAAGGAAAAAAAGAAAAAAGAAAAAAAAAAAAAAAAAAGGAAGACCAGGTGCAAATCATATTACTGTAAATGTAATGTATATTCAACAACGTGGACGGTTTTCAACAAAACGTTGAGTGATGTCCAGCACCCCTCTCGATTTTTCCAGGGCCGGTGATTTTTCCCTTCACTTCTGATGAGTGCTTTGCCCCCCCCCCCTCTAAAAACAATCCTGCCACGCCCATGGGTACCTCAGGGGTGTTTTTGGTTACTTTAATTTAGTAACAATGAATGTTCCAAAGGTTTCCTCATGCCTACCCAAGCAATACAAAACCACAGCTCTCTGGCTCCACCTCAACGCATAAGGTCGATTGCTCAACAAGGCAAACATTTTTACTGCCTTTTTAGTCACTGGTTTTAAATGGGATGATGCTAGTTTTTTTTGGCCTACAATTGAAAATATTATGGTCCTGTGCATGCCACACATGAACCGCCCTCTACAGTTCTTGTGTGGAGCCCACGAATCGGTGCCAAGAGAGGCAAACAGAAGTAAACAACACCGTCAATGTTTGGCCATGGCTCTAAGCAAAACGTTGAAAAAAACTTCTGAAAGGGTCTCACAAATGTTGTCAGTTGCAAAACAGAAGTGTTCTTCTCCAGTGCTTTCCGGGAGACACAAAAAAACCACCTTGATCACTTTTTTCCGCATCTTCTGAGGTTTAGATTTTCACTCGTTACCATAGCAACAGCTGATGCTTTCACGAGTTACCAAAGCAACAGATGGTGACAACTGGCGATGGTTGTCTGAAGCCGTGAGGATGATGACAGCAATGAACGGCGCAGTGTGCAGATGTGTTTCAACTGATTTGGAGCCATTTTATTTTTGTAAAAAGTGGCCTTTTTTTTCTTCTCTGATCTACAAATTCCAGGCATGGTACCTTCCACTGCGACCATCAAACATGGAATCCTGGATGGCAGGGTTCAGCCGTGCGTTGCCTGCCGCCTGCTGTTGCTGCTGCTGCTGTTCGCGATTGAAGTTGGGCATCGACATCGGAATGGCCGTACCGTCGCCCTTCAACTCCTGGAAACACTTCCAGTTGTCCAAATAGTTCGCTTAAAATGAGCGGACAAGAAAAAAGAAAAAAAGCATGACGGAGAGACAAATGTAAGTTTTGGGTGCCTGACGGTGACTTCATTTTGTTGAATATAGACTTAGGCAAATACAATTGGCTGTATTTGTGTGGGTCACTCTTGCTACTCTTTGAGGGTGGAAAATTGTTGCGTGTGAATCGTACCCGGGACACGTTCACATTCAGCCGACTGCAGCTACGAGATGTCTTGCACTGAACTGACTAATATTAGCAACAGCGTGTGCGTATGCGTTGTGTCAACGCTTTGCGTGCACCCATTCATGGATTCGCCAAATTACAAACCAACTACTAACGGAAAATTTCCAAAAATGCATCACTTGACGCATCTTCGGAAATGGCCTTAATATTGTTTTCTTCAAAATGACAGCGTGCCAGAAAGAATAAATTTACAGGAATTTACAATTTTAGTCCCATTACTATCTTTAAACCAAGTAAGCTTTTCAACAATAATTTGGTCGGTTATTTTTGGATAAATGATCTATTCTACCTTGAACATGAGTGACTTGCTGGAACCAACTGTCCCACAGTTCAGCGACCCTATTGCTTGATGGAACATAAATAACTCTTGTAAACCTACGCTCAAGCATTTACGGCATTACTTATGGCTTTTAAGTTGAGACTGCCGGATAGTCTATAAATGTTGAAAGCATTACCATACTTCAGGGAAAAGATATTAATGATGGATTTTTTTTTTCCACATAAGGAAATACATTTTGATGGTTTTGATTGATTGAAAATGATTTTGAGGTACATTGAGTATATCAAAAGTCTTAAAATTAAAATAGACATAAGCCGGAGGCAAAACTCCTTGCAGCACAGGGGATACATAAAAGTGATTTTGAGGTTTGGTTTTGAGGCCCTAGGATGTTGAACGGGATCAAGGGAATTCCACGCTTCCCGTCTTTTAAGTTTTGAGAGGAATATTAGAAATTTTCAGATAGACGTTTTCCCAGTGGAAACGATTGAACATGTGAAAATGCACCGATCAGTATTCAAACCAGCCTATGTAGTGTTGTAGCACTCGTAGGGTTCTTACCTTTCCAAAGCCTTACATGTCCATCATCACTGGAAGATGCTAGGATGGTGCCGGTTACGTTCCAACTCACTCGCCACACCTATTGAATAAGAAATTGTTAAAGCGGGCGGGCTAAATACCCCCTGTTCATTTACGGGGAGACGGTATTGTTATTGAGGAAGTGTGGGACCCTTCAAGCCAAAGCGGGAGACGGTCCACGCATGAACGCACACGGTACAGCCGTGCATGGTGACAGTTTGCAGTGGGGCTTGTATGTTTAGGGCAGACAAAAGATCAATTACAGGATAAGTGATCCTTTGTTGAGTGTTTACTACCCTTATTAAATCCCTGGCCAGTTCACCTCAGTTGGTTTTTTTTTTATTAAAAAACAAACTGTTATTATAACTTTCGCCATATTTCCGTAACACTTCTTTTCCGCTTTTTCTCATTAGGTATTGACGTAAAATTGAACAAGTGTCTACAGGGTGATAAGAATAACTAACATCCGCCTTTTTTTTTGCCTTTTGTACCCGGTCTTTGGGGTCGGTGAGTAGAAGCCGCCACTGATGGGTATGAAACCGCAGGATTCATTGTTATTAAAATGGTTATTTGTAGCGGGAGCCGGGAGTGCCAATCGTGGGACGGTTTGTAGAAACAGGTCACCCGCTTTCTTTTCAAGCGGGAGCCTATAAAAGAGGGGCTCAATTGAAAGCGGCTCCCGGTAAGTGAACAGGGGGTATTTAGCCTGTCCGCCTAAGGGTTCATGCGATGACATTTTCTTAGGAACACATTTTGTGCAACTTCCTACTCCTCTTAAATGTATGAAAATTATTTGACATCCCTTTTTGGTTAATTTTATTGAAAAAGTGCACTTCTTTAAACATTTAAGGCGCTGTTGCTATGACATCATTTCAGGAAGACACTGTTCAGTTAAGGGGTTTTCTGTTCAAATTGTGAATCCAAAATGTGCCCATTGAAAACATTTGTGAGAAAGGGTTGCTCATTAATACTGCCATGTACAACAGCGAATCACCAAAAAAAAGAAATTTATGACAGCAAAATATCCAAAATTCTAGCAACTTGTTGTCCTAAAATAGCTGTAACATTGAGGTTTCTGCCCGGAATGCCATCACAGTTTTGCTCATGAATATGGAAATTTGCAAAAGGATAAAAAACAAAAGGGATTCAAAATACCCTTCAAAATGGCAAATCAAAAATTGAAAAAGAGGTTAAACAGGACACAAAGGTGCTTTTCAAGGATAGCATTAAAAAAATTAAACTTCATGGGCCCTTTAAAAGTTCCTTTAAAGTTTTTCCCCTATGTTTTGTTTTTAAATTGCTGAAATTTTCTAGCAATGCAAAAGTTATTCAAATGAGAGTGAGACATCAGACAAACAAAATATCTGCCTTCGTTTAGTTATGGAATATTTACTTTACAAGTTTCAAATTATTTACGGCCCGTCAATAATGCAGGCGTATCTTTTTGTGCGTAATGGGCAACAAGAGGTAACCGAATATAAGGCCAAAAAAAAAAAAAGTCGGTCTCTGGTCAGCGCGCGCGTCGATTTTAATCATGCGCGTCAATCTTTTTTTTTCTCCAAAATGTTCCGTGGTAGCTCCAACAGCGCCCTCTATTTCTGCACCTCCTCAATTTTTTTTACCAAAGAGCACCAAGGAATGGGAAATTGCACCAAGGCAAAAGATCGAAAGCACCAAGGCAAATTATGGAGGACACCAATGTACATGAGGACACCAAAAAAGCAAAATAGTACCCACCTTGTCTGTACAATCCAAGCTTGAAGAAAAAAAAAAAAAAAAAAAGCAAAAAAAAAAAAAAAAAAGCCGCGTGGCCGCGTCAATTCCGGAACTTTGGTCTGACCAGAGACCGAACATTTTTTTTTTTTGGCCTAAAAGCGTGTTTTTGGAGGCTTGAAAACTTAAGAAATAAAAGAAAAGGAAATCAGCTGATCCGAGTGGCATATCCTTGGGGACCCAACGTTTGTTTTTTTATACTAAAACAAAAGCACATCACAACCACTTATAGTAGTATGAATTAATACTCTCCCTCGCCAACTGTGCCAAAACTGTCCGATTTGAACAGCACCCCTAATAGTTAGATGGTGTACAGCGAAACCCCCAACCCCAACTTTTTGATCCTGGCAACAGTGAACCAATCCTGGCTACCCTATTTGGGTTTTTTATTTGACAAATTGCCCATGCCCCCCCCCCCCCCTGTTTAGGAGTGATTTTGCAAGGAATACTCTTAAATATTGACTATGTGGAAAAACAATGAATGCAAAGTACAACAAATCTACCATACCTGTTGGTTGTTGTGATCTAGTTGCGCTGGCTGTTTGATGTCTAACCCTATGGATCCCATTGTTGTAGCATCTCGCCTACCGATGAAAACAACACGATTCTTATAAGGCCAAAAAAAAAAACGTCTCCGGTTTCTGGTATGGAACTTGCGGCTGATGACTGCAAATGGTGCCCGACTAAACTTAGTGCAAATATATGGAAGTCCAGAGAGGCCACATAAAGCTTATTCTCGACCATAACCCAATCTAAAAACACGTTAAAATTGTGCAGCAGCAGGATTCCAGTCAAACCAGTGGGTTTGGCGGTTTTCAGACATCATCTTTCATTGAAAAAAAAAAACTTTTTCATTTTGCCGATGCGTACGGCTACGGCGACGCGCGCGCATACCAGAAACCGGAGACTTTTTTTTTTGGCCTAAATGCCGGTTTATACAGGGCGAGTCAAAATAAGGAAACCCAAATGGTGCCCCCTATTTTTTTTAAAGAAGTTCTGCGTGTAGCGCTTTCCAGATCTAGAATATGAAAGCCCAAGTAATAAGCTTTCTTTCAGTGAAAGAATCATTCAAATTGCTCACGCACTTTTCCAGTTATAGAATTTTGAACACAAACACCGTTTTTTTTAAAGCTTGTCCACAGATCACAATAAAGGCAAGTGATATTTCAGTAAAAATGAAACCAGTCGTATCCTGAAAATGATATCAGAATAATCCCATTAAGTCTCCAGGGTAGCCTAGTAGAAGGTAGGGCAGGACTATAAACTCTTGACATTATAAAGCATGTCGTTTTAACATTAGCAGCAGCAGGTTTCTAAATAAATGTTATGATAAGTGCCAGTTATTATGGTTATGAGAGTGTTCTGATGTGTTTTTTGATACATGAGAAAAGTTTTCGTTTTGCTGAAATACCAACTTTTTTTTGTTTTATTGTGATCTGTGGACAAGGTTAAAAAACGGTGTTTGTGTTAAAAATTCCATAACTGGAAAAGTACATGAGCGATTTGAATTATTCTTTCACTAAAAGAAAGCTTATTAATTGGACTTTCGTATGTTAGATCTGGAAAGCGCTACACGCAGAACTTCTTTAAAACTAGGGGGCACCATTTGGGTTTGCTTTTTTTGACTCAGCCTGTACTAAGCGCAAAGCGAACGAGAACGTGTGAGATCACAGTAAGTTTTTGCGCTGCAAATTTGCTTACCTAAGAGGTTTTAGGGTCAAGATGCGGACATCTTTGGTTGCTACGGCGATGACATGGTAGGAGCGACCGAGGTTGGGGGCAAAGGCAAGGTCGTGGACAGCCTCCGTGATGCTCATCAGTGTCTCTGTTTTGTGCCATTTCTTTTTTCTGTGTTAAAAAAAAGATCCAAAGATGATGGCAATACACCAAAATCAGTATTCCTGACTTAGGGGAGTCAGGTTGGCCTAGCAGTACTTTCCTCGCCTTCCACCGCTGTGACCCAGGTTCGAATCTCACCTGGGCCAATATGTGGATTGGGTTTTCAGTCCTTATTTGATTTCTGAGAGTTTTTCTCAGAATACTCTTCTGGGCTTTTCCTCCCACCTCTAAAACTGTACTTTCTTCACATTGTCTTCTCTTTACTTGGACCCATGGGAGACCAGTGGATTCCACTGAATGGGCTACCCAGTTAAAATAAAAAAATAAATAATTGAATAAACTTTGCATGTTGATGAAAAATGCCAGGGACTTGATTATTTGCTGGTGTACATGGGGTCTGCATTTTACTTTTCATTTTGTTTTTTAATAAATAAATGTATGTATTTATACCTTTTTGGGTACATATTCCCGAAATCCCGAACTGCAAGAGTTTGGGATTTCCACTTTAAAACAAAAGAAAAGAATGTCTATGTAGATCATTCATTGACAAAAACAAACTGAACAATTTAAACTTTTCATCCCTCCTCCTCCCAAAATGAAAAGAACCCTCGGGAATTCAAAGAAACTTCCGGAACTTAGGTGCAAGACAAATAGAATGAGCATAGTGCTGTTCCCCATCTTGTATAATCCTAAATGAAGAGGATAATGTTTGTGGTCAGAAATGTTTAATCTTCCTACGTTCTTATTTCATTATGTGTGGGATTCTTTTTTTTAAGGTAAAATCAAGTGGTTTATTTTTAAATCATATTCATTGGTATATTTTGGGTAATATTTTAATATTTTGTAAGGTGTTACTATGTCAGATAATTTAATCTAATTTTTTTTTTTTTATTTATTTTAAAATGTTAATCATGTTCAATTCAGCTGTGGCTGCCATTTGGATTTCTTTAATAAACCATGTTTAATGAATGAACAATTATTCACAATACATGTTGTTATTCTCATATACCGGTACATGTATATGTTTGCATTTTTTGGAAGTGCAAAATACTCTAAATAAGTACCTGTAAGTATGCAAGTACCTTTTAAAACATTTGTCTACTTGTCCAGTGTCCTCCCACAAGTACATTTATACATCGATATTGTGAACATATCTACATTATATATGTATAAAAAACACAAGAAAAAAACAACACTTCCTACTGCCCCTTTTTAGACAGTGTTTCCAGAAACATAACACTGCTAGTTTTTTTTCGCCTGAGGAATTTCAGCTTATTTCCATGAATTCCACAACCCTGAGTTTACAAACCTTGCTAAAAATAGACCCGAAAGACAAAATATTTCATCCCGGTATCGTTCCATTGCCAAATACAATGGGTTGATATCACTGATAAGGTTGTATGGTTCGGAACACTGCCAGATAATATATCTCACCCCTCGTTAACAACATTCTCAAACTTCTTTCAAAACTTTTTGGGGCATATTTAGCTACAAGCTGATTTACCCAATCATAGATCGGGTAGGGCGTAGTGTTGGGGATGAAAATGTGGGGAGTGAAATGTAAATGGGGGATATAATTGGGAGACATGCCGTTATAGAAAAGCAATTTTGTGGTGTGAACGGAGGCAATTTCTGACCACTAAAACCAATTTGAGCAAAATATCATCTTTTAAAGTTTTGAGTTTGGAGTAATTGAATCAGCTACATGTATTCTGAGCAATAGAATCATTATTGTAGACTACAATTTTATTCGGGGAAGAAAAAGTGTGGGGGGGGGGACCAAAGAATGCCCCCCGCTTTAAATGTGTGTGTGTGTGTGGGGGGGGGGTGGTTTCCCCCTGTCCCCCGTCGATTTACGCACATGATAATTATGTACCATGACAACTGTCTGTAAATGTTTCCGTTGGTCTGTTAAATTGGCATTTTGTGAGGCAGTCTCATTTGGAAAACGTAGTGAAAAGGTTACTGTAGTACACAGGCGAAGGCTGGTTGTACAGTTTTGACAATAAATCATAATGCAATAAAACATGAAGGTGTCATTTGAAATGAAAATGTTGAGTGTTACCATAAAATTACAAACGTTCTGAATCATGGAGGAAAGTCATAATTAAGTTTCAGTATTGGACTCTTCAACAAACGTAAACTTGAACTTCTCACAATTTGCGAGACCGTCTGCGAGGAAAAAGTCGATTCAACTTTTATTTAAGTTGGTTCAACCATCTATATAAGAGCAAGTTTTACTCGGCCTCTGAGAAATGTTTTCTCCTGGAAGGATCTGAGACCGCGGTCTCCCGCGACGCCAAAATGGCTCCACGTCCGTGGAAAAATGTGGAGGGTGTCTTCCGCAGGGTCAGGCACTTCGGGTCGTCCTAATTTTTTCGTACCGGCGATCCATTTTGTCGATTTTTTGTGACTGCGTTTAAGATCCCGATATTTGAAGCAAATAGGCCCCCGAAATTATAACGCGACACTGAATTATACGTGGCGGGCAGCGAACTCACAACGCTCAGCCTTGGTAGTGGAAGCATGGAGCTGTAAACACATTATGGAAGCAACAGCACTCTATCACGCGACGTCACATGCATGCTTGTGCTTCAAATAGCGAGCACCGTAGACCCAACCTCGTTTCCAGGGTGTGGAGCAGGCTGCAGTATGCGTTGCCGTCGACGTTTTTACGCATAGCCCGGAAGTACTATGCTGTGTAGACTTTCGATTGGTCAGACCGCGCAAAGCATACTAATGTGTAGTCCTTCTGAGTATTCGTTGCAATCGGCGCAGGGGCGGCAAGCAAAGCACAGGAAAGAATAGGGACACTTGGTGGCCACGCACCATGGAGAAAAAATATTTTGCCAAGGTCAACCCATACTACCGTTTGGTGAACACTTTTGCAGAACGGCCGAGTAGAACACGTAAACGAAACCCCTACATTGACCTCGCTGACCTCGCACAGTCTAGACTCACAGAAAAGCCAGCACAGGGGGCGGCCAGGCAGTCAACGTGAAAGAGCACACGACGGCAAATTCCTGTGCAAAACGCAGTCACAAAAAATCGACGAAACGGATCGCCGGTCCGTACGGGAAAATTAGGACGACCCGAAGTGTCAGACCCGGAGGAAGACACCCTCCGCAATTTCCCACGGACGTGGAGCGATATTGGCGCCGCGGGAGCCCGCTGTCTCGGATCCTTTCATGAGCAAACATCGTCCCGGAGGCCGAGTTAAACTCTCTCTTATGGATCATTGAGGTCTTTTATGCATGTACGAGAACTAGGGGTTGAGCAGCTAGGGGAGCACCTGGGGCTGCACTAATTTTTTAAGGGGGAACTGAGGGTCATGTATAGAATTGTTTGTGTGCAATTCCGGATTTCAAATGGGGGGGGGGGGGGGGACCACGACATGTATCAGTTACACCACTGATAAACATGCTGAAAGAAAAGAAAGACAGGCAGACCAAAGGACAGACAGACAGACTGTAAATGGTGAAAAAAAAAACACTCACATGTTCGATTATGGTGTGAATCGAGGATTTCCTATGGAGTACCGAAGTGTGACGTCATTTAGAACCAGAAAGTGTAGTGCAAACGAATGGAGTACGCGCGCGTGCTGGTTCACGGGCTGAATCACGCGCTAATGTCTTTCACACACATTTTGTGTGCTCGACGTATTCACTTTGGTACTCCATTGTTCCTCATCATCGATCTTTTTTTTCTTCTGTTTTTTATCAGCTCCCATTGGTTTTGTACACGTTTTCAAATCGAGGACGTCCTCGATTTGACTCCTGTCCGCAATCACACAAGGATGTGTTTTTACATGTGCGTCCTCACTTAACACCATAAATAGACCCCCCCCACACACACAACTCAAACAAGAGCATACAGTCATGTTTTACATAACTCTCGAGGACAAGGCATTGTCTTTCCATTTGTCCATATACCAGTAATATAACGCTCTCCCATAGAATAAACACACACACTCACGATCGTGGACCGTTTTCAACTAAAGACGAACGCTCAAGGACAACAAAGAATCTGTTGCTCTCCCTTTGTCTGTCTGTCCTCGGGGTGTATGTACCGGTAATTCACATACCAATGTAACACAACAGATTGGCAAAAAAACCCATAAATGTCTGCCAGTACTCAGTAGAAACACAACCCATGTGAAAGAAAAGAAATGAAAGATCAAGGAAGGATAACAGTCAAAGTTGTAGTTGAGTTCTTTTCTGCGTCCGAAAGGTATGGACATGAAAGGGGGCATAGTTCTAGGGCTGCATCGAATAAACCAAATGTTTGACTATTTAAATATACATTTCTCTGAAATGTATAAAAACTATAAGACATCCCTTTTTTGTTTAGCTAGTCTGGTACCCTGGCCTGACCATTCCCCGACTTTTATAAATTGCTCTGTTTCATCTGAAGGAGGATCAGAGAACCAGACTACCAGAACACCACTGTTTTCTTGGTTTTTCCAGCATCTATTAACACAAAACTTTAAACATAACAGTGTAACAATATTTGCTGTAAAATACTTGCTGAAAATCACAGCAAAAGCAAAGTTGTATATTATCTTTAAACGAGTCCAACAAAATTAACCAAACTCCAACACTGTTAAGCACGGCTGGGTGCCCTATTCACTAAGGCCAGTGAGTTTCCTACACCTTTTTTTTTTAATTTTAATTTTAACAAAACAAATGGGCGGAAGTCAGGTTCAAACTTGAAAACCATGGAAAACAACTGCCCAATTTTAGCAGTTTTCCTACTTTTTCAGTGTCTCCGTTTAGGGGGCTATTGTCAGAAGCCGAAGTAAGCCATTCATGCCATGTGTCTCAGCCTACGGCTAGCAGTTTTACACTTGTCTATGAGAAGTGGCTTCAGTGGCTTCCATAGACACGTGTAACTGCAAGCCGTAGCCAAGTAATTCACTAGCGGCTTAAGGATCAGCTTCTCCTCTCCCCCTCCCTCCCCAAATCTCTCCATCCCCACTGCCTTCCCAGCATGCCCCTCACCTCTCGTTCTCCTTGTATTCATATATCTGGACCTTGCCGCCGCTTGAGGGACTGGAATCGTCACTTCCTACGGCAATCATCGGGGGATGCACCCTGGGAACAAAGCAGGATGTAAGATCATCTTACACAATTATTTTTCAGTGGGATAATGGACTTAGATTATGGCCCAAAGTCAGTCTACTCTGGAACCTAAATGGGCATTTCCACACTAATGGGGTACGATTCCTCACTGGTCACCATAATTGGAGACGTCTTATATACAGAGTAGATTGTTTTGGTCTTTACAGGTAACAGTAGGGATAGGAATGAAAAAGCACAATATTTGATAAAGACATTTATTGTAATTATAACGTTCTATCAATGTTAAACTTTCTGTCCATGTTACATACGTAGCATTCTGAGCATACACATCTCGTCAAATTTGCCTGGAAAGTCTTACTTTCCTGGTGGGCACAATCCTCAACAATGGGGTGGGAAAGTACAAGGGGAAAAGAGGACAAACAACTTGATATTATTATCCTGCTTCATTTCCCAATCCCATGTGGAAAGACCCACATATATATACCACAGAGATTGGAATGGAGTACCGAAGTGAATACGCGTGCAAAATGTGTGTGAAAGACATTAGCGGGTGATTCAGCCCGTGAACCAACACGCGCGTACTCCATTCGTTTGCACTATACTTTCTGGTTTTCCTTAATAATGACAAGTTAATGTTGGTCTTACCTTGAGGGATTCCATGACAGACAGCTACAGTTCAGTTTGGTCTGAATCTCTTCCTGTTAGAAAAACAAAAATTCAACAAAAAAAAGAGACACACTTTGAAAAGAAATTTCAGAATGAGACCCCCAGTGGGAGGGATACGATGTGAATGGCGTGGGGTACACGCAACTTGTGTTATTCTGAAAGTGCACAAACCCATAGTGTATTCACGTGGGGGCGTCAGGCGCCATCAGCAAGGCTATTCGAATGTCTCTTCCAGTGGTCTCCCCCAACTCTCCCTTTGTAACAGTTGTGGGGGTATTTGTGCACTTAAAGAGGTTGTGGAATGCTCGAAGACATTTCTGTCATTTATCGGGTATATGTAGCCTAAGGTGTGATGAAATAAAAAGACTATTGTGTCTGTCATGAAATGAGTACAAAAGGTACTTTTGAGAGCTGTTTTTCAAGTCCTGTTTCGACCCGAACGTGCAATTTGTGTAAAACTCGTCGTTGGGGGCAGCAAACAAAACATAGTAAATCATGACGTAATAAACAGGACTCCCGATGCAGCGTAGTATAAATGAGTCCTGTTTATTACGTCACGATTTACTATGTTTTGTTTGCTGCCCCCAACGACGACTTTTACACAAATTGCACGTTCGGGTCGAAACAGGACCTGAAAAACAGCTCTCAAAAGTACCTTTTGTACTCATTTCATGACAGACACAATAGTCTTTTTTATTTCATCACACCTTAGGCTACATATACCCGAAAAATGACGGAAATGTCTTCGAGCATTCCACAACCTCTTTAAACCACTGCTATGACGTCACACTATTGTAAAAAGTTTGGTTTCGGAGCGACGAATCTTTAGTAAAGTGTGGATTCGAACTTATCCACACTTTGAACATGTCGGACAATTGTTCTCCATAATGGGCATTAATAAGACCGTCTGCTTGAAAACTTTCCTTCCGAAAATTACCAATGCATCTTCACAGCCAGATTCTCTGCTGTCACTGCAAAAACTACTTTGAGTCAGAAAGAAAATCGTCATATGAACTATCCATGTTGACGTAAGGAGCCTACACGCAAAATGACTTGGTTGTAGGGTGCGGTGATACGCAGGCTAAACACGCCACAATATTAATGCTTGATTATGTTAAAGAGCCTCTAAAAGCTCCCTTGTAAATTACCCAATTGGCCAAGACTCGACATGAGATATGCAAGTCTTTTCATCTCCACTCCAATTTGTTTTGTTATGTAGAACACCTTTAAACCTTTTTCATCCCCTCTATCATAAGTTGACTGTTCCTTCACTGTAACACGACTGCAGGATGCCAATTTCTTGAGAATCAGACTTACATCTTCAAGTAAGTTGGAGGTCTACATTTCCATTACTAAACTCAGTACCCATACATGTTACATACCATTGGAAAGCTCTTGTTCTGCAGAATCCAGATATACAGGGCGAGTAAAAGAAAACGCAACCCAAATGTCAGGACTATTGTTTTAGTGAAGTTCTGCATGTAGCACTTTCAAAACATAGGATATGAAAGCCCAATTCATAAGCTTTCTTTTAGTACAATAATCATTCCAATCACTCATGTACTTTTCAAGTTATGGAATTTTAAACACAACCACCTTTTCCAAGTTCTGTTCACGGATCACAAAAAAAGGTGTGCATTCTTTCAGCAAAACGAAAACAATTCACACACATCCCTATGTGACTTGTTTTCGTTTTGCTGAAAGAACACTTACTTTTTTGTGATCCATGGACAGAACTTTAAAATGGTGGTTGTGTTTAAAATTCCGTAACTTGCATGATTTGAATGATTCTTGTACTAAAAGAAAGCTTATGAATTGGGTTTTCATATCCTAGATTCTGAAAGTGCTATGCAGAACTTCACTAAAACAATGGTCCCGACATTTGGGTTTACTCACCCTGTATAAATATCTTAATTCTTCAAAAGTCCAACTTTATGCACAGATTGTGGTGACAATATGACATTATATGAGAGACTTATTTTGGGAATAAAATGACTTGTCCTGCAGGTCAGTACAAAGTAAAAAGGTTGAGAAACCTCCAGAATTGAAAGGGACTACTCCTAGGATGAATTAGCAGCTAATAAAGTCCCACTGTGGATTACATTAACTCCTGATGTGCTTTACATTAACCTTGCCTACAGCTTGAAAATGTGAAAACATCCAAGGAGAATTGCTTGTAACAAAAACAAATTAACAAACTTTTCACTGCTTTTAGCGCCTGTGGGTTACAGAAACACATTAAACGTTTCCGGTCCCACGGGCTCCACAAGCTCCTTTGTATTAAAGAGGTTGTGGAATGCTCGAAGACATTTCTGTTATTTTTCGGGTATGTGTAGCCTAAGGTGTGATGAAATGAAAACGACTATTGTGTCTGTCATGAAATGAGTACAAAAGGTACTTTTGAGAGCTGTTTTTCAGGTCCTGTTTCGACCCGAACGTGCAATTTGTGTAAAACTCGTCGTTGGCGGCAGCAAACAAAATAGTAAATCATGACGTTATAAACAGGACTCCCGATGCAGCGTAGTATAAATAAAGTAGTAATTGATGATTTCAGGGTTTTTCCTAGGGTAGGGGCTGTCAAAATAGGGTAGGTAGGGTAACCTAGGGCCTCAATTTGTTTTTATTTGTTGGGTAGGTAGTTTGCTATTCAGAATCACTCTTGAAGGATGACTGCATTAACCCTAACCCCCTAGGCTCTTGCACTAGAAAGTATACCAAACCTAACAAATTTCAACAGCTGCATACAGGTCTGTAAGCACTGGTACCAAAACTGCCAAACTCCAACAGGCCTTGTACGGGGAACAGTACTAAACCTGCCAAACTCCAACTGTTGGAGTATGATTGACTTGGTATGGATGGGCCTATGCATTGTCGAGTGATTGGATAGGGATGGTACCAAATCTAACAAAATAAAGCAATATGTACATGCACATTTGACCACAAGCTGTGCTGAGGACCGTGGGTGAGCATACCCACGAAGAAATGCCAGTGAACTCCAACGTGTTCACAAATCTCATGCCCTTCTGCCCCGAACCTCACAAAATTCAACAGGGTCTCCCTGGGCCTTTGGTACCCAGTCAATCAAAGTCCAACACCAACTGGCCAGTGTTCGGTACCAACCCTGCCAAAATCAAGCAAAACCCGCTGTTGGAGCTTGATGGGCTCAGGGTTGTTCGGGTTAAGGAGTGCATCAGAAGTCTAAAATCATAAATGTCAGATGCAGCAGGAACAGGAACAAATATTAGTGGACCCCAAATTTATTGAATGACCCATGTTGGAATATCCGATCAAGTTGGAAATGGGCAGAATCGTAGCCTGTGGCAATCACAAGTACGCACACGTACATGCATGTTTATGTTACATACCTAGTGTGCACATTCATTTGTTTTCATGTAGTTACAAAAACCTGTGAAAAAAAATCATTTTACTCACACTGTGAAAACTCTTTCAACCCAATTTGTTTCTATGATTCCCTTGAGTGTTTCTCTTCAATTTACCACGAATAAACCTAACCCCAAAATGCATCTTAACCTGTTTTCCAGAGAGGGGGAAACCTTGTGAGGACGTGGGCAAGTCCACACAACGTCGCTGCTACCTGGTTTATGTGGATCTTTGTAACTGTTAATGCTTGTACACCCAGGCGCGGATCCAAAACAGCTCTGTCCAAAAAAAATTTTTCATAGAAATTCCTAAAAATAATGCGACCCCCCCCCCCCAAAAAAATATACTGGTAATAATGTGCGCCTTTGCACAAAATACACACAGAGCCAGCTTGGTTTGGGGTTATTTGTTCATTATTCTGTAATATAGTGTTAATAATCGTCTGATTTGAACAGCGCCCCCATTGAAAGTATGGTACGATGAAAACCCCCCCTGCAAAAATTCCTGGATCCGCCCCTAACAACCATACACGCACACCAAAAGTGGGTGTTTGCGACATACAGTGTAACTTCAAATGTCTTCTGGAGCAGATCCACCTCAAATCTTTTAGTTGCTTACATCCCCAAAACTCCCATCCAAGATTGGAACGCATCCCTGGTGCGAACACTTTGTGTGAAAAAGGCGTTAAAAAAATACAGAGACATTCGGAATTGAATAAAACCTCAAAGTTAGACGGCTAGAGCTCAAGGTAAAATTGGACGTTCTGCAATATCCTATCCTTTTTTGTTGTTGTTGATGCATTTCCACTCTACTTACATTTTTGATTCTGAGCCAACTGAGGTTTTTCCCAAGGTGGTGTGAAACATGCTGTGGGCTTGAGCTGCTTATGTTGGTGGGTGGGTGGGTGGGTGGACACTTTATTTGGGGTGTATTATACTGTTCCAAGCCACGCATGTATCACAGCTTTGCCAGTGAGTTTCTACAGAATACCTGCAGTTTTGTGACATTGATGTGCATGTGTCTAATTTGCATACTAGATCACGCTCCATTGCATTGCAAAATTCGCGGTTGAGCGTTTCGTGGAACGGCCATGGGTTGTACCACTTGGTACTTGTTCAAGTTCAGATGATGCAAACGGGGGTGGGGCGGGGGTTGACATTTGAATGTTCTGAATTTCAGGACATTCTTGTTCATAAAAGTACATTTCAACTCCACAGACAGCTTAACCCTAACTCCCTATGGGGTGTGCAAAATTGTATTGAATTGAGAGGATTCAGGACTGTTAGGGCTACAAATGCTTCTACAGCCAAGTAAAGCAATTAACCAGTTTCTCGTCCCCGTCTGTTACCTTTTTTCCTGGCCGTTTTTTTTTTTAATCAATCACTTGCAATAAATCTAATTTTTAAAATTTTCTTCCAGCAAAATCTGTAGCTATGCATGTAAGTTTAGAATCTGTTTTAAGGCGTCACCAATCATTTGGACACAAAAGTTTCAGCAAAAGAGTCAAGAAAAAGGAAGAATCCATGTGGAAAATCCGTTATCTTGGAGAAAAAAAAAGAAAACCAAAGGGCCTCCTCCCTTTTTTCAAAAAGCCCAGACGAGATACAATTTTCTATGGATAAAAATCAACGGAAATTTGTTTGGAGACATAACTACCTGTGAGCTCCACGTTGCTAGGTTGGTCACATCACTAGCCTCATAGAAACGCACCACACCATCAGCTGAACACGTCGCCTGCAGAAGACAAAAGACCATCAATGAAACTTTGGTAAAAATAGAAAAGTTTCCCTTTGCGATTATTTGAAAATTTATGAAAAATAGAGGAAGATGTATACTCTCTGAGTGGTCCCTGTTTGCTATTTCCCAGGTTTGCAGCATTGTTAATGTTGCTAGCATCGTGACTTTGGCCGTGATCCCTAGCTACATTGCATATACGGGTATATGACTTCTGACTAGCGCCCTTTGAACAAAGACATTCACAAAATGCAGAACTGCCAGCATAGCGCTGGATAGCTCAGTTGGTAGAGCACCGGAACGGCAATCAAGAGGTTGCAGGTACAAACCCTTCTCCAGTCAATTTCTCTTTTCAACTTTAAAAATAGACACTGCATAGATTTAGAAAACAAAAGAGATACCAGGAGGAAAAAAACGACTGATAATATCTACCAGTACTCACAATATTAGTTAAACTAAATAAATATTCTTACCAGAAAAAAGTATTCTTACCAGCTGAAGGCCCAAGTGTCTTGGTGAGAATTTTACGTCTGTAACGGAAGTTCTGCTGTCGACCAAAGCTCCTCGTTTAATCTTCACACAAAAAATAAAAAATAAATAAATAAAAACTTTTTACAAATAACTCCAAGCTCCTGTTTATTTTTCAGTGACAAATTAGGCCAAACAAAAACATACCTTTGTTTCGGGTCACCCGACCAACCCTATTTTTGGTAGTGATAAAATGCGACCCCACAAAATTTTATTGGTTATTTGGACCAAAAAATATTACGATACCAACTTTCAAAATTGGTCAAAATCGCCGACCGCCAGAAAAATTTAGAGGCATTTATCAGCAAGTTTTTTCTCTTTCTGGTATTATCCAAAAGAAAACATTGTGGTCCAACATCAGTTTGCGTGTACTTTAAAAATATGTACGTTGCACCAAGACTGCTTGGGTCCTTCGTCACATCATCGTCATTGCAACGCAGTCCAAAAAGTCTGGTCAGTGTGTCTCATGTTCCTCGGTGTGTTCGAGCAGCGCGGTATTGCGTGCCAGGGGAAATCCCCACGGCAATGTCTGTGCCCAACAAGCATTTCTATTGGTTGACCGTGAGTTACACGGCCGCACAGACTTTCGAGCCTAGGGACGCCATGCATCATGGACACCGATTTTTCAATGAAACTTTTGTTTGAAATTGTGGGAGAAACCATAGAAGCAAAGTGTCCTAACAATCTTTTTTTAACTAAACACTTTTAGATTGCTGAAAGCAAGTCTTTGTTGAAATCGTGTTAGCCAATAGGAAAATTCGTTATGCGATATCATTCCACCAATGGCCACATGCATTGTAGACTTCACATTGGATCGGATGGTCGCACGTCTTTTGTGGCTTTCGTTCGGCTCTCGTGCATGAGCACACAAGACTGCAATTTGCTCTAGACTAGTCTAGACATCGGAGAATGTGAACATTTTCCAAAAACAAAAAGGAAATTTCTTCCAGTGAAATCTCAAAATGACATTCAGGGAATTCTTTGTGAAAAAAAATCAATCCACTGAGTAACTGATTGAGTATTAAAAAGAAAGACAGGAACATCCGATTTTACTCACATTTCTGTTTTGAATTTCTACTTACCCAGTGGCTCTGGCCTTTCTCATTTGGATTGGACTCACCAACTGTAGGAAATTACAATAAAAGGCATCCTCGTTGGTCTCACACTGTTGACGCCAATTGTATTTTATTACCAAAACCGTTCCCAAAAGGAACACAACCTTTAATGGATCAGTTCTGAATGAAACTTACAAAACAAAACAAAGCAAGTGAAAAAGAAGAAACACAGGGCTACGTTGCTTTGAGTTCACCTTTTTAATCACTTCTAATAATCAGGTTTCAGCATCCATCTTGAACTTGACAATGTATCCATTAGTGAAAGCTGCTGTAAATATATTCTTTGCCCAGAAATTTCGAGGGCAAGCTTAACCCTAACCCTCCTTCGAGCAGTTTTGGAGGATTTTGGAGGATTCAGACTCAATGCAACATACAATTTTGGAGGAATGACGGCACATGGACATTCAGTATCGGTCAATTTTGGAGGTAAAGGCTGAATGGTGTTTGAAGAGGAACATTTTTTGCATTTCGAGAGGCAGGGCTGTGGGAGGATTTTGAAGGGTTGAGGCAATGGGTATCCTTCATTTGAATGTAAGTGCAACATTTTGGAGTACTGATGATGTTTCCTAGCAAAAAGGGCTGGGGGGATAGGGTTAAGACTTGTTTCTTGTTGGTTTTGTCCCAATCGTTTTTTGTTTATTTGTTAAGGTTCTCTGGATATCTACTCTTACAGCCGAGTACAGTGTTGCAGTGGAGTACATTTCCATGAGTACGAGTATGAGTACAAATTTCAATGGGTATAAGTTTTCTCAAGGGCTTTTTGTTTTCAAACTAGGCATTAGATAAATGCAGAAGCCTCCAAAACAGTTGGTTCTTTTCCTGCATTTCCCTCTTAAATTAAAAAAAAAATCTTGAGGGAGAACAATGAAAGAGTACGAGTGCAAGTACTTTGTCATGAGTACGAGAATGAGTATAAAAAAATGTACTCAAAGAGTAAGAGTACGAGTACTTCAACACCAGCACAGTATAAACAACAAAAGTACATGTAAGCACACCCCTACTCTATGCCTTTACTTCTTGTACTGCCGAGCACTGCACTCAGATATAAGACCAACATGTGTGATGTGAATGCCTCTCTATCTTACCAATCTCCTCCCAGATAACAGCTGTGCGGTCAAAGGAGCAGGACGCTAGCACCTGACCAAACTCTGGATGGGCCCAGGTTACCCTCCACACTGAACCGCTGTGATGCTGCAACGAAAGAAATGAACGCTATCACTCAAAAAAATAGTTGGATGGACATAGCAAGGATGAGCCTAAAAGGCCAAACAAGGATGAGCCTAAAATGTTAAAATTCTTTTTCGTCGTAAAAGTTTCATATGGAATATTTGATGGGATTGTTACCTTGCAGACAATGTATATACCTGCAAATGTATGGATGGGCATTCAGACTAGTAAATTCGTCCAAAATTGCCCACACCGGCCAAATCATGATTTGTATACTGCCAACTTTTCTCTTAACCCTCCTTCTGTTTGATCAGTCACAGACAGTCAAACATTTATTCCACTTCCCCTCCCATGCCTTTATGCACAGTCTAGTCACCAACATTCACATCACATTTCTTGTAGGCACACTGACTAGCCATATTCCATCAACAGACAAAAGCAGGTAAATGGTGGTCACATTTGGCAAAATTCAAGCAAAAACCTGAATATCTGGTTTAGCAACTGTGTCCGCTTTTAGTGCCTGAACTTACCAGTGTCACGTGAAAATCATTGTCTCTCAGTAAAGACTCATACCGTACGGTAATGTGAAGACTAATATAAAAATCCTCCAAAATCCTCTAAGTTGCAAAATGGAGGGTTTTGCAGGATTGAAGCTACATGGCAAAAATGTTTAGCTGATTTTGGAGGATGCACTGTGTCAAGATCTTAGGCAGGACCTTGTGCTGTTTATGCTCAGCCATGCATAAATGTAGGCCTAGATTATACTTGAAATCCTTCGCACTGCTCCAGGATGTCACTGCCTCCGCCTCAACATATTGACAGTGATTGCTGGAGGACTTTGCAGGATTGAGGCAGTGGTCACCCCTCCAAGCACCACATTCAAGAAATAATGGAGGATTTTGCAGGATTGAGGCTGTGTGCAATTTTTACATGGAGGCAGTTGGAGGATTTTGCAGGATTGAGGTTGCATCATAGCAAAAATGCTTAGAGAGTTAGGGTTAAAGTTCCTTTTTTTGCTGGTCCCAGAGGGGCAAGCCTATAGTCTTTGCACCTGACTGACTGACTGACTGACTGACTGATTGACTGACTCCCCGACTCCCCCCCCCCTCCGGACTGACTGACTGTCACTTGTGAACCAGACTCGCTTTAGCCTTCATCATCATCATCATCATCAGGCTGTGATCATCCATTGTTGGATGAAGCCCTCCTCAAGCAGTTTCCATTCTCTTCTGTTTGTCATTCTACTCCATGTTGCCGTGTTCATGTGGTGATTTCATCTCTCCATCTCCTTTTTGTCTACCTCTTCTTCTGCCTGTTCTTGGTTGCCATTCTGTGAGTCTCTTGGTCCATCTGTTGTCTTGTCTTCTTGCTAGGTGCCCTGCCCATCTCCATTTCATTTCCTTGATCTTCTCTGTGATATCTTTGACCTTTGTTTTGTTTACTTATGTAGCCTTATCTTAGCCCAAAACTTTGAATAAGGGTTACTCTATGGCGACCTCCCCAAGTTAACCAACAAAATAGCAGGAAGCCTGATGCAACTCGCTGGGCACTGTCTGCGACACCCAGAGTTGCCCGCCAGCCAAGTCATCATCTGGGAACCAACCTATGGGAGGATGAACTGTGAGCGTCCTTCCAAAACCATGGTCAAGATCTTGATGAAGGACAGTGGCGCTCGACAGCTGATGAACTAAAGACACTGATGATGGAACGGGACATGTCGCTCGTCCGTCACATAGTCCAATGCAAGTGCAAGTTGTAGAGGATAGATGATAATGTGGATGATGATGCAATAGGGATGCGAAAGTTGATGAAAAAGCCAGGACATTTCACACAAAAAAGGGCTGCAATTGCTCCCCCCCCATTGTGTCCCCACCCCCTTTAATATTCCACTGACTGTGCATACATACCTTCCACGCTGACGTGCAGTGCCATTCGCCATCTTCCCCGAGATCCCATACCTGAAAACAAAATAGCAATCAATTTTCACCAAGAATTATTCAATATCAGGAAAGATTTCCGTACTAGACCTCCACTTTTTTCCCATTAATTTTCAAGCGCCAAAAAATTGCATCCTTTATCGTTATTTCCTTTACTTTCCCTCCTCTACTCTCACCCTCTTCTTTCCTTCATTCCTCTTTATTAATCAGTCACTTACTTCACGGATATCCATCGAGATTCAAACCTTGGACTCTTCTTTTACACAACACTTTTACCACTAGGCCGTGAACGATCGCTTGTTGCAATATTCAATCTTTGGACGTATTTAAAGTATCCATTGAAATAAGAGAGAATGAATATTAAATAAACTAAATATTCATGAGAAATTCAATATTCCTAATGACGTATTGCACTATCATTGGCCGGCTCATGAGTTGTCGATGTCATGCGTACCGTATCACTAGACTTCCAGACACTTCAATCAACTTAGTTCTGCATGACATGTGCATTCAAAATGTGCTCTAAACATGCTAAAATGCATTTTTCCTAAAAATTATTCGCATTGCCAGAGCTTCCTAGATTCGTCTTGGGTGAAAACATCAGTAATACCACCTCCAAAGCAAATTAGGTGCTCGGGCTACTTCGTAAAAACCTTTACAGCTGCTCTGCAAAGGTGAAAGAGACTGCCTATAAAACCCTGGTTAGACCTAAGCTGGAGTACTGCGCCAGCATCTGGGACCCATACCACCACGATCACAAAAACAGGCTGGAAGCAGGGCGGCGGAGAGCAGCAAGATGTGTGTGTAACGACTTCTGACGGAAAAGTAGCGTCTCTTCAATGATCACAGATTTGGGATGGAAATCACTGGAGGAGCGCAGACCCATTTATAGACTCACACTTCTATACAAGTTCATTCACCACCAAGTAGCAGTCGACACAGACCACTACCGGGCTAAATCAGAGAAGGGGGGAATAGCAACGCGAAAATCTTCCGCAATCGCCTTTACCCATCCATCAGCACAGAAAGATTGCTTCAAGTTCTCCTTCATACCAAGGACCCTTGTGGAGTTGAATCATTTGCCTGCCAACATAAGGGAAGCCACAACTGCTCAAACCTTCAAGACCACTCTTGGCGATATCCAGATAGCATCTTTAATAAGGGGATCCCATCATTAGCGTCCGCTAGCCACCACGCGCCTGCAACGTACATATCCCGTAGCGGAGATTGTTGCAGTGTCCAGAGGATGCAGAATCACAACGTGAGGTGAAAATTGATGTTTAGCAATGGCAGGAGATAAAGTGGAGGTCTAGTATGGAAAACAACCCAGCAACCTGACGCTGCTTTTTTTCATATATCATCTCAATGAAGGTCAGCCATTGCAAAAATGATGGGGAAAAATGTTGCAACCTGACGCCACTTTTTTCTTCATATATCATCTCAATGAAGGTCAGTCATTGATGATAAGACATGAATTTGGGACTGAGAAACTTTTCCAATTTTGTTAATGTTAGGAAATACTTAAAACATTTTCTTGACTCTCCATAAACTTTGTACACAACCGCTGAAGTGGTGTCAGGTTGCAACATTCTTTCCCCCTAATTTTGAAATAAATGCACAATCTGTAAAAAGTTTCAAAATTGAGCAAAAGAAGAAGTGTAGTTGTTCTTATTATGGCGATTGTGTATCTACGGGCCCCGTTCTAGTATAAGGGAACAAAATCCACTTTTAAATTATTTGACCAACCAAACTAGTTGGCGACATTAAGAACATAAAGGTACATGTATCATTTTTTTTGTATGTCATAGATAAAGGGCAGGGTTTTGAATTTTTTAGGGAAAATTGGGGGGAAAATGACGATGACAACAACAAAATGCAACACAAAAATAAAGATGGCGATCACCTCGCAATGTACCATGTGTAGGCCTACCATGAGCACGCAAGTGGTGCTGAACGGCCCCAACCAGCCCGTAAACTGCGTAGGAAAATCGTAATTTCTACCCCAAAAAACTGTTCAAAAATTACCAAAAAGGTGTCATTACATTGAGAGAAGTCTGCTTTAAGATGACAATGTAATTTTTTAGAAATAAAAAAAAAATCTTGATTCTAATGGAAAGATTCCCATATCTGGCCATCACTTGTCACCCTCACCCTGTGCACAAACCCTATGAGACTGGTCTGAACATTCTTAAGTGTTTTCCTAGTAAAAGCTTCAATATTTTCCCTGCTAATTTTGACTTTTTAGGACATATTATCACTTTCTGATGGCTGATACATTGTCATTGAAGGAAAAAATTCGTGATGGCCAGATATGGGAATCTTTCCCATTCTAATTTGATCGAAACAAAACAGGGGCCCTACACTGTACTACACGAGCGCCCTAATTATAACGATTTACCCCACAAACATCGATCGGTGCCAGCCAGTCCAGCCCACCAACCCACCCACCAACCCCCTTCACTTTTCTATTGTTTATTGGAACTTAGGCAAGTCTTCACGCGTTACGTTTCCGGTTCCGGATATTTCACTGCACTGCAGATTTCGAGACTTGTTGTTCAGCCTACCTGTACACTTTGATCCGTTGAACATGTGGCTATTCGGCGGCCATAGAAGTCATAAGCTACATCATGAATGAGGTCCTTATGTTGTGCGGCAATGCTTTTTGCGACAAACATTGTTTTAAGTTGTCAAACTATATCATGGATATTCGTGTGCATTTGCATGTTTTGTGTACATGCCGCTTAATTGGCGGGACGTTATTTTTACGGCTGCATATTGCCGTATTTATAGCAATACTACGGCCTCTACATGACACATCTCAGGTAAAATTAAAAAGATGAGAAGTTGCTCAGGTGAAATCCGTAATGACTATGAGTAATACATTTGAGGCAAATTTATCTTTAGCAAACGGTTCATTTTGTCCCCTACGATTTGTATTTTATACCACTTGAGATACATACTGTACTGCTCCTCCCCCCCTGAAATAAATGACATTCATACTTTGAACATATCGGGGGTACGGGTGGGGGCCGGGGGGGGGGGGGGTAGAATACGTAAATTGTCGGACCCCTAGCACTAAAAAGAGGCGATTTTTATATTTATCGAAAAAAAGAAAGGATTGCACAATAATAAAAGAAGGAAAGAAAGCTCGATCATGCCAAAACAAAGCTGGGGCCCTATTTTGGTGTGTCCCCCCCCCTGCGGCTCCAGAACCACGGACCAGTTGGGGGGGGGGGGGGGGTGGTTGGCATCGGGACGTTGCTAATTCAAAAGAAGAGAATGAGGACGTTCTACCTCCATGGTAGCATCGATAAAAAATAGCAAAACACAGTCATCTTCTATATATAATTCTACCTCCATGGTTTTAATTAATAAAATGACCGCGTCTATGAGGGGTACGGTCTTGTACCCCTCCTCGCCCTCCCACCAACTCCAAAAATTAAACATTTTTATAAATAATAATATTTGGTTCCGCCGATGAATCGAATAACAGCAATCTCACAAAGCACAATCAGATGATGAGGACTTATTTAGGCGTTGTATATTGTAACCAATAAAATGTTTCACATTCGTGCAATCGAAAGAATTCGGTGAGAGATGGAATATTCGATTTTAATCGCACGTTTATTATTATTATAATTTTTTTCACTGTACTATTATTAATGTGTCGTAAATTGGCCATCGTAGAGCTATTTTCACGCCCAAATTCAGCCGTACAAATAGGGCACTTCACCAAAAATCAACAGGCGCCAGGAACATTATTATATATGTCAACGCCAATAGTCGTCGGGGAACAAGTCTCCAACAGTGTAAGTTCGCCATTATCGTACACTTGAGGGCGCTCTGTTACTGTAATTTTTTTCACTTGACGTGCGCACGTCGTTATGGTTCTAATTCTCGAGATTATTTGAGGTAGGTTTATTATAATCCCCCAAATTGTTAAATAGAAATTTAACGCCGTTGTTCTCTTAATCCATGAATAGGTTTATTTTCAACAAGGTAGCTCAACATGCTCGAGGGCCCTTGAAGTTGAAGGCCTTGTTTAATGTTGGGATGAATTGGGGGGGGGGGGGGGGGGGGGGGGGTGAGCGAGGTGAGCGAGGAGGGGGCGGGGGTTTACTGTACAAAGGGGTGGGCGGGTGAGTTTTTTTTTTACAGTTGCGGGTGAATATATTTTCAAGAATCATTCTGGAGTTAAGTTCGATGGGAAAATTATGTTATTCTTGAAAAAAAAAAAGAGTTGCAAGTTCAGACCGACCTCCTGTTGTAGCCGGCATGGATTAAGTTTGAAAAAAACAAGGTTCTTTGTCATTTGCAGTGAACTTCCAGAGGCAACTAGGCTAGATCTTCTGCCATCCTGTTACCATGAGCGGTCTCCATGCCACTCATACGTTTCCATGAGAACCGTGGCATCAACATTGAACTCAAGCATGACAACCAGGTGGCCCGGCGCTCGGCCAGCTTTGCCAATGCCATAACCTTCAGCGACCGGCCCCTACGGCCAGGGGAGCTATTTCTAATTGAGGTAGAGGAACAGGAGCCAGGCTGGAGCGGCCATCTGCGTTGCGGACTCACCCAGCACCACCCTGCCTCCCTGAAGGTTATAAGACCAGGAGACAGGGTCCCCAACCGCTCTCCCTCTGAGTTCCACCAGCGTCGGGGCCAGGCAGCGCGGGTCATCTCCGCCCCACAGCCACTGACCATCCCGCAGTACTCCATGCCGGACCTGACCAACATGGGCAAGTCCTGGGTCTATGCCATCACCAAATACCACAACAAGGTCCCCGACGAGCGGCTCAGCACTGCCGAGGTAGAGGCCCTGGCAAGGAGCGAGTTTGTCAAGGATGGCGTCAACGTTCTGAAGATCGGCTGCGCGGAGATCCCCCGACATCTGTTAGTCCAGGACTTCATCGCCCTGGACCAAGAGGCTAGCTGGATCTCGGGACAGCAGCAGTACTTTGCCACGTCAGTCGGAAGTAGGATTGCCGTCACCTACAACATACTCGGGGATAAGGTTTACATGCATTTCATCATCAATGGAGAGGACCAAGGTGCCTCTTTAATGGAGGATGCACACCTGGACAGTCCGTTCTACGGCATTGTGGATGTCTACGGGACAACCAAGCAAGTCCGGATTATGCAACTGATCTATGGTAAATTTAAAACAAAAGATCAAACAAATGAAAACATCCAGTCATTTTTATCGAAAACAATTTACTGATCAGAAGGCATGATTAACAATACAGTGTCTTTAAAACAACCGTTTGACGTGAGGCCGCTCTTAAACGTCCAATAGTTACAGTGTCTGATTCATGTGTGAAGGTATGTGGGCTTAACCCTGACTGGGACATGGTGCTTGTGTTCTTGGGCAAGACACTTTGCTGCAATTTACCACTCTTCACCCAGAGAAATGTAAAATTGGTACCTGGGAGGGTAGTGACCAGATTGCGTTCATCTCGCACATCTGCAGAAAACTGGTCTCATGGCCTGATGAACAGGGGTGATAATTATGAAGCAATGTTATTATTTTTAATGTATTTGCAGTCTGCAGTCTAAATTCTAGAATCTGTTCATTGTTTTCACTTCATGAGAACGTGTTCACATTAATTCTCTCGTTTTCTTTATTCTTTTTCGTAGTTCCAAGTCTACAGGAGTGCTGTCGTCATTCTATCAGGTCCATGACGCCAGATAATCTCCTACAGGAGCTACCCTTGCCCAATAAACTCAACAGATACCTCCAGTATAAACTCTGAAAAGTTTGGGAACCGTCATTCCACAACAACTCAAGTTGTCTTGGACTCCGTGCGCAAATACCTAACTTGGAAAAGGGAAGTGACAAAGTGTATTGTCCCTAATTAAGCTCTTGGGGTGAATTGGCTAAAATATGAATGCAGCGACCTGCAGCACTTGTTAAAACGACAAGCCTGCTCAGTGTAGCAAGATCCATCATGTCAAAAATCACAAGGCCTAAATGCCTCAGAGTCTGTGGTCACCAAATGCAGCAGGATACAACTGTAGCATTGTTCACTGGGACTAGCTCTCATTGTTTCAGAACTGGCCATCAACAGGAGTTGATGGCTCAGTGCAGCAAGGTCCCACAGACTTTTACACCTGATGCACTGAGTCTCATCTGGAAGGGTTATAGGGCCCTAAGGATAGTTGAGTACTGAAGTGTGTTCATCACATGTGAGGCGCTGCAAGTTTGTATTCACATTTAGTGTTCAGAGGAAAATGGGCTGTGCGCACTCTGTGCCAGATGCATGTGCAACCTAATGCGTCTAAAGTTATGGCCTTCGCTGGCTGTTGTGAGCAGGCGGGAGGGCACCCTCTGCCGTCCTGGTATGGAGTCTATTGCTCAGTTATCAAAATTGTCTGTTCCTTCTCGTAATGGCAATATTCACTTATTTCCAACAATAAACATTTCATGTAAAATGATGTCCTTCACCGACTCTTGTTAGCAGGCCAGAGGGCGCCCTCTACAGTTCTGGTATGGAGTCTAGTGCTCAAATATCAAAAATCGCGTGTTTCTTTTCATATGGCAATATTCACTTGATCACAACTTTAGTGATTAACCATGCAAGTACTGGGCCCAAAAATACGCAAGAAAAACATTTTTCCAGAGTGTTGTCTGGATGTTTCTCATATTTTCTGACTTGCTTTGACATGCGTAGGCAGATCTTATTTCCAAAATGCAATACATGTGAATCCATTTGAAAAAAGTGAAAAAGTTGCACAGTTATAAAACTTTTTATAAAAAACAAACACGGTTTAAAGAGCTGTTTTTAGACGTCATTTTTCACTCTATCGTATTCTTAAATTGTGTTTAACTATAATAACAGCCATCGAAACTGACTTTAGTCGGCCAGGAGAGGGCAGGATTCCAGAAAGTAACAAAAAGCCGTTCATCACGTTTTGGAAACAAAACTCTTCGTATTTATCGTGAAAAGTTTGTTTCTTCAAAAAAGTACCATTGGCTGAAAAAAAAAGACAAAAAAAAGTTAATGAAATCCCTATTGCATTGCTTCAGAAATGTGCAAAATTCCAACATCTCACTTCATAACAATTGATAAAAAGACGTAATTTTAGTGTTTCATTTGAAGTAAACGTGAGTGGCTCTAGCGCAAACTTCTTGCCATGATAAAAAGTTTAAACGGAGTAGTTATATCACTTAACAGCAATGGAGTATACTTTTAAGCTTTAATTAGCGCATTGTCTTTCTTAACTGATTCAATCTGTTCGACACATGGAATGTTTGAATTCAGCTTTTACAGCAATTTTGTGTTATTGCTGCACGTATGTATTTATTATATGTGGACAAAAAAGAGCACAGATTTAAAGGCAATGTACAACATTAGCAAACATCAAAAAACGAAACTACCAAAATATTATGAAATACTTTACTGGACTGTTAGTGAATAATAGTCTGAAGTATCCTGTAAAATCATGGCAGCTGGTGTTCTGTCATTTGCAAGAACAGTGGAATTTTTGTATCAGTTTCCAACGATGGTTGGCCGACCATCATTGGGAAAAAAAAAGCCTAATTATTTTCAAATATTGCCCCCAATTTACCAAATTTAGTTAGTCCACATTGTGTTTGCAATCGGTTACACATCCGTGAACGGTTGCAAGCCAGCTAATCTGGTTCCCTGACCTGACAATTTCCCAATGTCTATAAATTGCTCCATTTTGTCTGCCTTGAGTACCTAATGTTGGTAGATATGTACGCTATACAAGACTCTTTTTTTTTCAAATACTGCCCCCGATTTACCAAATTTAGTCCACATTTTCTTTACACATTCGTGAATGGGTCTAGCTGCAAGGTTCCCTGACCTTTCAATTCCCTGACATCTATAAATTGCCTCATTTCATCTGAAGTGGGGTCAGGGAACAAGACTACAAGAACGTGATTATTTTGTCGTGGTTTTTCCAGCATCTATGAACACAAAACTTTAATTGTTTTGCTATAAATTATGAACCCTCGAATCCATCCATTTCTGAAAATTACAGCAAAAGCAAATGCTGTATATTCCCTATAATACAAGTTAGACCTAGTCCCAGAAGCGTGATGTCAAAATGGACACACTCCAAACTATCACCTCAAATTGTGGCACTTGCTGAACCTGCAGCAGAAAGTATTGAGGTAGTCCTTCAAGTCAAAGGTTTAAAATCATGATGCTTGAGCCTGAAAACTAAAGTCAGAGACAATGTGGAAAGAAAAACGAGGAATGTAGTTATTTGGGAAATTCACTATTAACATGAATTATAAATGTTTGCAATAAAAACTCAGAAGTTCAGCTAGAAAATAAAATTTCACGATTAAATTTTTTCAGTGCACTGTACAGCCGCAATGTGGTGCAGAATGCAGCTGTGCCGGTGTGTTGTGAATTTAGGACTATAAAATACTGACTCACTGGTAGTATTGCGCATGCCTACGTGAGGACTGAACGTTCAACCAATAAAACGGTAAAAGGCACCGGATTTCATAGGAGTCCAAATTTCATATGACACTAAAGACCAGCCAGCCGGTCTTTATGAACCGTTTAAAACTGGCCATGTGACGGGCTCTGGACCAATAGGAATGGGTTAAATGTCTTGCGTATTTATGAATATAGTTTAAAAATGTTAATAAACAAGTGAACCTGAGCATGGTTTGAATGTGTGACCATCAGAGTGGCATTCCAGTGCTCAGATACTGGAGGTCACAAGTTCAAATCCTGCTCCAGTTAATTTCTTTCTTCAACCTAGACAATTAAAAAACAAAAGTATATGTACATATTTATCCTTGTTTATTTCATGGGTTACTTTTACAATTTTTATTCCAATAGTCACGTTTGCATCGGCCATGATAAAAAGGAAGTGATTTGTTTACAAGAGTTTTCTTGTTTTAAAACCTGAAACCATGTGTGTAATGTAAATAAAGCTCAGCCTGTTATGGGCCAATGCATGAACATGAGTCATTGTGTCTTTGCTTGAATTTTGTTGATGGAACATGTAGTTTCACTTTTAATCCTTTAGCTTCAGTATTATTTTTTTAAGAGAAAATGTGATCCAGTTTTTAGAAATGATTGAGGCGTAAGACACTTCCATTGGTGCATGTGTAACTTGCAAGCCACAGTCAAGCAATTCAGGCCGTACTGCGTACCCTTGAAACGGTTGAAAATTCTGGTAGACAAAAAATTATGTGCAAGCAGTACAACAAAGTTGTAATGAGTCACTAAATTTTGTGACTCGAGTCGAGTCGAGTCGAGTTGAGTCATTTAGGTCTAGAAGGTCGAGTGGAGTAGAGTCACAGTGTGTGGTCGAGTCGAGCCGAGTCAAATTTATGCTCAAGTCAATTTGAGTCACTGATATTGGAACACCTTGTAATAAATTACAGAATGGAAGAAGGAACACAAGCACTAGTTTATTATGAAGATCCAAAGACTTAAAATATGATGCAAAATAGACAGCTTCTGCTAGACGTTTGTTCCAAAGATCACGTAACAGCCGGGGTTGGGGCGGATTCCGCACCCCCCTAAAATCTCGGCCATCGTGTGACGAAAAATTTTGAAACTCGGTACATGCAAAGAGCAACTCATCATGAACATACCCAAGAAATTTCATGACTATAGGTCAAAGGGTTTTAGAATTACGGCTAATTAATTATTCATATGTATGAATGGTAATTCTGCTCTGTGTACACGACGTACATGTATGGAAAAATTCAGTTTTCACGGCGCATAGCGCCGGAAAATTGTTCGCTGCGCGGCAACCCGTGTTCCGATTTGTATGTTTTTGGTATCAAAAGATGCGCAAGGCTCAAGGCTAAAAAGTCATAACAGCTGGGGTCGCGAATTTTTTTTTTAAGGCTATCGCGGAAAAAGTTGGGGGGGGGGGAGCGGATTCCGCCCCGGCCCTTTTAGGGTTAATAGAAGAGAAACTTGGGTTTTCTGGTTTGGCTTTGGGTGTGGAGCAAGTTTCACGCTGACAATCTCAAAACCAAATTGCAACATACAAAACTGTTTCTGATTACATATAGAAATGTATCTAATTATTTATTGAACGCAGGACATAAATTTAGCCAGAGTTCCTTCAAGGGCTTAAGAAATCGCCCGAAGCCTTGTAGAAACGCCCCGGGTCCAGTGGTTACGGTGTTCGACTCATGTTCGAAGGTGCGTGGGTTCGAACCCTGCCAGGAACATGGTGTTTGTGCCCTTGGGCAAGATACTCTCTCTCGACCCAGGAGTATAAATGGGTACCTGCCGCGTGGTTCCATGGCTAATAATTGTAAAGCGCTTTGAGATTGTTAATACGATGGAAAGCGCTATATAAGCACAATTATTATTATGAAACCAAGCATTGGGAAATGCGTTTAAAGTCTGGTTCAGGGCAAGTGGTTTGTGCGCTACATTATAAAACTATGAGGCAAGGGTCCGTGATATACGGCGTATATACATATGAGAAGCGGCCACATCTTAAGCACGCTAACATATACTTTCCGCACAGTTTTGGGACTCGAGTGTTATAAGCCCTCGACTCGAGTTGAGTCTTCAGATGAGGGACTCGAGTCGAGTCGAGTGATTTGCTCGCAGTGACTCAAGTCCAGTCGAGTCAGTTACCCTTTGCCAAAAATGGTGACTCGAGTCGGACTCGAGTCATTACAACTCTGTAGGTTTGGAGTACAGTTAACAACATTAAGAGATCGGACAATCATACAGAAAGACATGCATACTGCAGTGCATTATTTGGTAAGACATCTTTTTATTATTATGGTTCACGTTATACAATGACATTTAAATATAATTACAATGCATATTCTACAAAAATACGTTGCGAGGAACACATTCCATTTTACATTCCAGAGAAAAAAAATGAACTGCACGTCACATTCACCCGATTTTGGAGATATTTTTCCAGGTTTTCTGATTTTAAACTATGTCGGAAAGAAGGAATGAATAAAATGTAAAGAAGAAATATAAACTGAAAAGACTGAAAAAATCTGAGGTAAACGCATTAAAACTGAAAACATTGCAGACGTCTTTCAAACCATTTTTTTGGTACTAAACTGGCCTGCCCTTGGAAGGAAAAAGGATACAAGTAGACATAACACATAGTGTATTAATAAAACTGTTGTGAGTTTTCTTTAGTAAGGTACCACCTAGGTTTTGGTTTGGGTGATTATTACATTTTTTCCCCTCAAAAATCAACAAATAGTAGTACTACGAATGCAGTCTTCGATTTCTGTTTTATCAAAAAAATACATTCAAAATTTTTGAGCAGTGTGCACTCACAATGTATTGCTACAAAAATCAGAGGGAAGGCATTTCTATGTAGGTATGTTCACTCACACACAATGCGAGCATATGTGTATGTGTTCTACATAGGCCTAACCCCCGAGAACCGACACACAAAGGGAAAACAACAGATCCTTTCAGTCCTTAGGCATTGGGTCTTTTGTTCAAAACGGTCCTCTTTGTGTGCTTAGTCTCTATCGGACAAAGGGAAACACAAAGCATTGTCCTCAGGAGTATAGTAAAACAAGAGTGTGTGACTTGTCACCACAAAAGTTGGAAATTGCCATTTTGCAATACTAATAGTGGGGCAATGCCAAAATTTGAATGTGTGGTCAATGTTTTTGTTTCCAGGTGAACCTTAGTCTGAAACTTAGTCCTACTCCCCCCCCCCCCCCATTTTTTCGTCCATCAAAGAACTTTACAACCAATTTTTATCCTGTTTTGTTCTTCAACTTTTCATTAACACACCAGCGGGAACATTACTTTGACAAATTCCATTTAGTTGGCGGTTTATGTTTCTGTTTCCAAACTCAACTACCTCCAAAATGTTACATAACATTAGAAGAGTTCTTGTTCTGCAGAACTCAGAAATAAAACTTTCTCAATTCTTCAAAACTTCAAACTTTATGTTCATGATGTGGTGACAGGTCACATATGCTTTTATCATGTAGATTTAATGCAATAAGCACTATTTTGTTATTTTGTCTTCAAGGTCGTTTCTCAACACACAGTACTTTAAGGCCAGATAAAATTGTTAAAACTTCTGGTCCTACACATAGGAGGGAGTGGAAGCGTTATTGAATTTTTGACCAGCTGTGCATGCAACATAATAAAAAAACCATTTCCCCCCTTAATTTATTGCCATCCATAAAAGCATGGAGGCTTGAGCGGCCTCACAAATTTAGGCAAATTTGAAGTAGTTCTTTAAAATACAATGCAGTTTAACATTGAATGAAACAAAAAATAAGAGCTGCACACTGACCAGAAACTGCGGCTGTTAGGCCCAAGACTTACAAAATGCAATACAGACCCTGTTGACATTTCTTGACTGACTCTGTAACCTTGGAGTATACATGTACATTCTAGAAAAAATAGCCGAGAGACAAAAAAAGAAGAAGAGAGCATTCTCTCAGGATTGACAACATCTGGTGCCAATTGGATTTTTTTTTGTTTTGGTACCACAACATTCGGTTGAGAACTTTCTCCTTTTCCCCCTGCTACTATACAGCATTATCACCCCCAAATATCACTCAATACAAGAGCATTCCAGGGGAAGAGTCTGGTGAACTTATTCGCTCGTCCCCGTCGCCCTCTCCCAACGGCTCTGGTGGGGGCTAATCGCTCTGGGCTCTCATTGGATGTTTTTTGTTTACCCAATGACTGGGGTCAACGTGTTCTTAGCTCTCATTGGACAAACTGTTGACCCACTGGCATGGTCAGCTCTTCCGTGTATTCATTGGCCCTATCAGACAAGATGTGTGTGCGTTGTTAACAGCAAGTGACCAACGTTGACCTGTGCTTCCTTCACATGATTTTGTGAAACGGACTAGCCCCATCAGCACCCTGGGATAGAGCGAAGTTAACTAATATTCATTTATCTTCAAGCAAACTTGATATCTTCGATCCTGATTGGTCGGATCCATGGCAACAACAGTGTGATATTATACCTTATACCCCGTCCACATCACACTCTACCTATTGCCCTATTCTAAAATGCCCGTGCTATTTCTGCCACACGTGTATTGGATAACCACTAAACCGTTCCTACATCTTTAATATGCGTCAATTTGCTTTTTAAGATAAATTTGTAATTCCACCCTTGCTTGTGGAACAAGGAAAATGTAGTCACCTGTGTTGCATATATAGAACACAGACGCACTACATTATTCTGTGTTCCTCTTGCACCCGTGGGTAACTAACAAGTCTGTGGTTTTAAATTCCTACAAATTAATGAAGTATAACCATGTGAAAGTATTTATATATATACAATTTTTTTTAACACTTTACAAAGCACACATAGAATACTGGATGTTAAAATGGTGTGTTTTGGAAGAGACAAGTTTTGGCGTTAAATAATATTTTACAACTCGACACAAAGTTTGCATTGGACTAAAAACAAAAAGAGTAACACCATGATTCAATGGGCATGATGGAGGTGAAGTTAACTTTTAATTTAGAATATATCTATATATATATATGACTATAAGTTTGAAGTTCTAGTTAAAGGAAAGATGGTGGGGCATTTATTCACTATTCAACTGTGCATAAAATGCAGAGAATAAACAAACCCTGATGCCATTGTTTTTTTTAATTTTATTTATATATATTTTTTTGGCTAGGAAACTTTTTGAATCTTCCAGAATCAACCACTCTGCTGGCACATTCCCACTGGTACATTCGTTGTAATCTTTGTCCAAGACTGGACTGTGATTTGATCCCCTGCGTGCTGTAATCAAGCTAGAATGCCTAGAGGGTCAGGTATGGTCATAATTTCCTGGGTAGCACTGCCGAAGTTCTTAAGACTGCATTGCTAAGACATTGTGTTGATGATAGAAGTCTACACCACCGCTGCTGCGGCATTATCATGCTTGTCAGGGATGTGCCGGTCTTTTATTAAGGGGAATAAAATCTAAATCAGGTCTTGGACCAAGACTTCATTCTTTGTAAATCAGCGCCTAACGTGTGTCAAACATTAGTCATTAGGTTCAACCCTCCTTAATCCTACCAAAATCTCCAAAACCTTGCAGGATTAGGAATGTCAAAGGTTGTAACTGGGTCCAGTGTGCCACCAAGACTTTGCCATGGAGAGTCCATTTTTTCAAGTTTACGGTCGACAAACACGGCCCATTTGAATGAGTGTCAGTAGACAACTTGAGCTAATTTGTTATAGATTGGGGCGAAGCGTTCTGCCACCTTAAAAAAAACACACCATATTGATAAAAAGAAAAGAAAAGGGCAAACATATACTCGAATCATATTCTTACGAAACTACTGACCGGAAAAACTAACAATTTCAAATGTCCCGCGCTGCGAATCTGTCGACCATCTCCCACAATGCACTGGGAAAAATGAACTCTGTGGCAAACTCTTGGTGGCGCACTGCATTGTGAAACGCCCGAATTGGCAGGGGGGCACTCAGTGGGTTTTCCTAATAGGGTAATTCTATAAATTCGGACGTACTGTACATGTACATGTCAGACACTTTAATGAGCTGCTGTTGAAACGAGCTCATCATAAATATCTTGGAAGCTGCGGGCCAACAATTTGTGTTCATGCATGAGTCAAGCGGTTTTTGACCCCAGTGACCTCACGATGTCCTTTGACCCCAGTTTGATCATGTGACATGTTGGGGCTGAGCTGCTGATACTTTTGACAAAGTTGGCTTGAAATCAGTCAAAATATGTAGGAGCAATAGACAATGTCAACGTTTGTTACTAACTAACTAACGGAGAGTCAGATGATTTGTTGAGCCGCTATCCCGCAGCTGAAAAAGTGAATGTGATACATCACTAATAATGTGATATCTAATGAGTAGGAAACTATTACAGACCAAACTATGGCACCACCACCTTCAGGACTTATATATCCAGTTATATCCAGTGGTCGGATGTATGCAGAGAATTGGATTCTATGGAATTGCCCAAAAGATAAGGAAAAAAAAGCCCACTTTATGTAGATGCAACGTTCGAAGAAAAAAATGGAAAAGACAATACTTTTTCAACACATCTCATTTTTCTGAAAAGAAAAGTTAACAATATTTTTGATAGAATTTTGCATTATGTTGCTGGAAGTTCTTTTTAACAAACATTTCTTAATAATGAAATCATCTACATCAAATTTTATTGAAAGTCTGTATTTTTATTTGATGTAGAATTGAGACAGATTGCCTTGGGCAATTTGAGGGCTTTCAATCCTAACGCTGACAGAAAACTTACAGCTTATAAAGTTATTTTCGACCTCATCATATTTGCATTCAAAATACATGCTCTCTGCTCGACACCAAGTCAACTTGTGAACAAATCACTATTTGATACGTCTTCATTTTATTAGAAAATATACATATCCCCTGGTAAGGGATTGGCTTCCCACTGTCTACAAGTGTTTTTTTTGGTTAATTTTCCACAAACATACATTTATTTGCAACTCCACAACACAAACTGTTTCGCCGTCTTAAATGTAACGACAGAATGAGAAGGAATCTCTTACTCCAGAAACTATCTGCGACTACAGAAAACCTTCATGGTTATCTCCATCATTTCACAACAGCAAATTACTTTAACAAATATTCGAAGGCTTTGCATCAGCTCAGAAATCCACAGTATTGCATTAAGTCTCTGTAATGGCAATAATTTTAAATCCAGACCCTCACTTTGGCTACCTCCAGCGATACAATTCCAGGCCCTTATACCTACAGAGACAAAGCTGTGCCGCTCATTTAAGGTACTATCCAGGACCTCAAAATCGTGACACTCTAAAACTTGACACTCACTTTTAATTTTCTGCATAACAACGAACTGCCTTATCTTCTCAAATCCACGGGGAAGAAGTCACTCAAAGTCGAGGATCTGTCTTCAATGCTCATATGCTGGATCTCCAACTAGTAGTGTATTGCCTGAGCTCCTGAAATCCATGGAGGTAGAAGTTGTGCCACTCACTTAAGGTCCAGGTACTGTCCAGGTTCTCTCCTTACATCCCAACACTCACTGTGGCTACCTCCTGCAAACCCTTGAGCTTCTAGCTCCCCGGGATGATAATATCCACAAGGGAGAAGCCTTGCCGCTCACTTTTGTTCCAGGTACTTGCGGATGAGTTTCGTGCACTCCGAGCTACACCACCTGTCTTGGAGGGCTGCACACTCGCTCTCATTGGTAAACTCCAGCTTGGATTTCAGGTGACTCCGGACCAAGGACTTTGTCATTTGCAGACCCTAGATCATCATAAGATAGGGAGGAAACAGCATTCACTGCAAATTCTTCATGTTAAAACGTTTTGGAAAATGAGGGAAATAGTATCCAAGTACAAAGCTTCACAGATTTAGACTGTATACACTAGTCCCACAAGGTCATCATAAAAAGCGTATGGTTACGTAAATGCTATGTGTATGGTATCAAAGAACACACACATCAAGTGTCTTCACAAAAAAACCCAACAACTTGATCAGAAAGCTCTTCTGTAAATACCTTGCATGAATTGTTGGAAATGACCTTGACCCTTGGAATGACCTCACTCATGAAGCTGGTTGGCCACAGCACCTGGGAGACCAGGCCAGATGCGCAAGCCTCCAGGGCAGTCATCCTCCGTCCACTATACAGGAGGTCGCATGCCTGGGGACAGAAGCATAAAACCCCTTTTACACTGGGCTACTGGGCTAAATTTCCAACAGAACCATTTTTGGAGCGGTTAAGGTGGTTCGAGGGGCCATGCTAGCTGAGTAATAAATAGTTTCATTGTAGGGTTTTGAAAATAGCCAAACAGAGTACATGCAAAGTGCATGGAAGGTTGTAGACAGTCCCACTGCTAGCCCCGTGTTTAACACACAAAATTCTGAGAAGGGTTTTGAAAGGTTTTGACAGAATTTCATGGCTCCTAACAGAAATTCCAAGACACTGCAACAAATCCAGGGCAACAATTCAAGACGTTTCTAGGAAAGACCACATGTTCTTCAACTTTCTGACTCAGGTGCTCATTTGAGGACATTTTAAAGTTGGTGCAAAGTTTATCCAGTTCACGCCAGGATTATTTTGACAAGAACGGAACGAGGCTCAGGATTACTTTTCACTCGACCTCAAGCCAGGCGGGTTGAAGCCATCACCCTCGGGCAGCACCACTAATATTTCCGGCATTGCTTGCTGCCAGCGGGTCGCTGACAGATATTTCCGGCCTCGCTCCCTGTGTGTTTATCTGTCATCTGTTCCGAATACCGCAAAACTTTTGTGTGTATACGCGGTCTCCGGCGCAAACTTGTAAAAGACTTTCCCTTAATATTTCAAATTCTAGGACAGGTACAACAATTCCAGGACAGGTCAACAAGTCAAAGGTCACAAATCCAATCACAAACTTACAAGGACACTTAAAATTCATAACTTTTCAAGGACATGTTAAAACTTCCACAGCTTGCAAGAAAAGAAATAAGACTCATAGACTTTCTTGGATAGGTCAAACCTTCCAAGAATTCCCAGAAGAGGCCACACAGCTAGAGTGTTATTAATTTCATGACTAAGTTTAGACTCACCACAGGAAGACCCATGGCGTTGGGGAAGGAAAATGAAGAGCAGCCTTCTGGGGGCTGGCCCATGGCTGCATAAGGCAGGTGAAATTCTGCCTTGTCGCTACTGTAGACGATGTCGCACAGGGGAAGGATGGCAGCTCCTAGACCCACAGCCCTGCCATTGACAGCTGCCACAATGACCTTGGGGAAGTTGATCAGGGTGTTGATGAACACCCTTCGTAGTCATTATAACAAGAGAAACACCAAATTAGATGTTTCAGATCTACAGAACAGTACAAATCGGGTTCTAAAGTACAAATCGTATGATCTTCTCGTAACCCTTATTCTCTTGGATAATAATGTACACAAGCCATTGGCCGCTGAACAATTCAAGGTTAAAGCCAAGGTCCATCATTTGCAGCTATCCAAAAAGTAACTGGCATAATTATTGTTGAAAAACATACTTGGTTGAAAGATAGTAAGAGGACTAAACTCCCTGTGAAATTATTCTTTCTGGCAGGCTGTCATTTTGAAGAAATCAACGAAAGAAGGCCTTTCCAACGGTGCTTCTTATGAAGCACCGCAGGAAATTCAAATTAGTAGTTCGTTTTGTTATTCGGCGAAGCACGCGCAAGCATTGGCACGACACACACGCGTGCGCGGTTGCTATAATTCGTCAGATCAGTGCGCGACATCGCGTAGCTGCAATTGGCTCAGTGAGAACGTGTCTTGGACGCTGAATTCAGGCCCAATTCAAAACATGATTCAGCATCTTTTGATTTGAAATTGAGATCCTAGAATATTGTTTTTTTTTCAAAATATACTAATATATAATATATAAGCACCCTTCTTCAGATCTTGAGCACTTTTGTTGCTTCAAACAAACAAAATGCACAAATTACAAAAGATGGACTATACCTTTAAGGTTAATCTGTCAGTAATAAATCTAAAGCACAACATACAAACATACGAAAATATCCTGATTTAGGTCTGGCGAAGAAAAACTATAAAACAAGGGATTTTCCCAACCTATGCAGTATTATTGAAATTGTACACCTGTTGCTTCATGAACTCTGTTGCTTGAAAGGGGTTGACCACTTTAGACTCCAATTGTTTATATCCATTAAATTGTTTGAAAACACCCTGATGAAATTCACAAAGTTATGTGATGAGGTTAAGTTCCTACATGTACAAGTTTGTCTACACCTCAATACCAAATCCGTACCTTAATGCCTCTGCCAAATGTCTGGCATATTTTTTCCTGTGGTCAGACTCGATCAACTTCTCTAGATCCAATCCAGTGCAGAATACGTTCCCTGATCCTGTGAGCAACAGTACCTTTGTTTCGTCTTTGCCAGATTTCTCCAAGATATCTGTGAGCTCCTGTAAAGCCTGTACATTGAGGGTATGAAGGTCAGTACTGGAAGACTCAAATTCAGGAATCTATCTTGGGAAGCCCTGCCACCAATTTCATATCAGGGATACCCTGCCACTAACTGTAGCTCAAACATCATCACTTATCATCCTTTGAAGTTAAGCGTCCCTCTGATAAAACCAGACACTCAGTCCAAATGTATTTTTCAGTACCTGTGAATTTAGGGGACTAACACTCAGATTTGGCTAACCATCAAAAGCACCCATCTATGAGGCACATGCTACTGTCTTCCTTTAATGGAAGCTATACCACCAGCTTCACATCAGAGATGCCCTGCCATTAACTTTAGATGAAGACAAACGTGCTTTGCATCCTTCAAGAGTTAAGCATCCCTCTGATAAAACCATACATTCAGTCCAAATTTACTTTTCAGTACCTGTGAATTTAGGGGACTAACACTCAGATTTGGCAAACCATCATAAGCAACCATCCATGAGGTAGGTAGGTGCTACTGCATTCCTTTAGTGGAAGCCTTGCCACCAGCTTTAAATCAGGAAAGATTGTCAGTCACTTTCATGAGTTATGCGCAGAGTATGTTAACCATCTCTAGCGCAAAACTACTTTGTTTCAATTTACATTAACCTTTTTCATTTTAAACAGCTTCTTATAAGGCTCCTTCTATTAACTGCTACTGTACAAGAGTATATACATGCATATCCACAATTGGTGCGCTTCCACTGAAAAGCCCCCAAAGACACTACACACTTTTTACCTTGATGTTGAGTGCATTCTTTGACGGGGAATTGGTAAAAAACCAAACTTGGGTGTACCCTGGGTGCCTCTTTACGACGATCTCCTTGTACTTGAACACATTGTCACACTGCCTGAGGCTGAACCGTCTAATCAGGGAAACGATAAACATGTCTCTGGATCAATATCACATTCAACCACAACTAATCTTTAATTTTATTGCAGAATTCCCTAAATCCAAAGGGGATTGCCATTCTAGTATGAAAATACTCACCTCTGTTTACTGACATTTGCATAGCAGCGCACGAGTGCACAAACCTTGATGAAAAATGAAAAATACCGCACATGCCACACCCTCCACACCCACTGCATGTCCCACACAAGGCCCTGTAACACGAAGGTTCGTCTTAGTTTTGTACAATCTGTTTTTATTAAACTAATCTCCAAAATGGGATGGATGGTAAATAGAGGTGAGTGTTTTCTTACTATAATGGAAAATACTTTTGGATTTTGGAAATTCCATTACAGAAAACGATTCACATCCAGGCGAAGATTAACCAATAGCCACAGTGCCAACTGTGCCTAGGGCCTGTGAAAACTTCAGGGACCTACTAAAAATCTGAGGGACTACAAAAATTCACAGGCTTTTTGAGCTACTAGTTTGGCCTGGCTTGCTTAGTACAGTTTAGCATCAACATGAAATTGGTGATGGTGCCTAGTGCGGAGTAGGGCCTACGGAACACCGGTGCCTAGGGCCTGCGGAACACTAAACCCGGCCCTGCTCATGTCTGTTTACCTACATTTCCAGAGTAGCACCGATCAGAGCCCAAGGGAGGGTAGGGACATGTAGCGGAAATGGAAAAGTCTAAACTACGTCTACATGAAACTAACATGAAAAGGTTGTTTAGACATAGCCGGGAGCTACCAATCTATTCTAGAGGAGCTTTGCGGGTTTTGTGGACTGCTGAACATGCAGTTTCCTGGGGGACTTTTCTGCCCATGTAGTCCTCCGCTTGCACAACACCCTCCACGTACATGTAGTATGATTTGAAGGTGGAAGGGTTCTACCAGCATGCAATTTTCATGACATCTGAAAGGGGAACTCCAAGCAGATGGGCCCAAGAAGTTGACATGCTGTGTGATTCATGGGCTTGAGATTTTGATTCTCAATTGTTGGAAAGACCTACTATTGCCTCCGATATCCATTGAGGAATTGTTGTCACAGAGGCCTGAGTGGCTGTAATGAACAGCTGCTTGATATTACCTCTCAAAGGCTCAGGGTGAGCAGTGTAGTACTTCGGAGGTCGTACGGGGCACCATAATTTATCCTCTGCTACTGATAAAAAGGATGTCAAACTAGGAACAAAATATATGGGGGAGAGATATCGGCTGACTGATTTTTCATGAGGAATTTAACTGTGGAATTAAGCGAATGCCGCCAGGTTCCCAAGGGATATGACCTAGTTCTATTGACAGAGCATGGAGTTCGCTTCTACGACGAGATGTTGCAGCAGCCAGTTAAAATACAATTTTACTGTAAGCTGATGGAAAGAAGAGCTGCCTGCTGGCTCAAATGGAGCTTTGGCAAGTGACGTAAGGACGGCACCTACATTTGTAGATCCCAAGATTGTATCAGGCTATCAGGTCGATTGGTAAACATGCCAGGCATCAGGTGTGATATTATGTGTTTGAGGAGATTGTAACCCTGATGGAGGACGCCAATAGCTGATCCATAACCTCTGATAGTGGAGATCTGAAGACCAGAGTTGAAAAGGAGGAGAAATTCCCAATTAAAATTACAGAAGTAGAATAGGAACTGACAGCTCTTTCCTTGCACCACTTGGTAAGGTGGAGCAGTGTACTATCATAAGTTCTCCTGATGGATTCCCATCTGCTCCTGGCTGCCAAGGCCGTAGCTTCCTTCGAAAGGCCAGCTGCTCGGAGGGAGACTTTGACAGCATCCAGGCACAAAGATGAAGAGTGGCTGGGTTTGGGTGTAGGATGTGAGACTTGGGTGGTGACAGGTCGTCTGGGCGGTTTGGAAGCATGATCGTTGTGTGAACAGGGAGGTCTAGAAACCAAGGGAACCATGGCCGTTGTAACCTAAATGGAGCTTTGAGGATTATCTTGGACAACTCTGTCTCTATTTGTGCCAGAACCCATTGTATGAGGGAAATCGGTGAGAAGGCATATGCATGAAGTCCAGTCCAATCAAAGCTGAGGACATCTACTTTCCACGCCATGGGATGAGAAAGACGTGAGCAAAAAGTTTGAAGCTGGCTGTTCCAAGAATTTTGAAGACATGTTTGGTACCTGATGGATGGAGAGACCATTCTGTCGGAGTGATTAGACCCCTGGAAAGAGCGTCGGTGAGGACTTTCTTCTTCCTGGCTAGATGGGTGGTTTGAAGAGAGATTTGAAGTGGAATACAGCAACTGAGTAGCTGCTGAGGGCAAGGCAGAGAGACGGCTAGTGAGTTCCCCCAGTTTGACAGTTGATGTAGGCCACTACTGTGGAGTTGTCTGTCTCGTCCAAGACCAGCTTGTTTAGGACACTGGATATGAGGGACTGCAGGACTTCAAAACACTGCCAGGAGCTATAGGTGATTGATATGCAACTGACTCTCTTTCCTTGACCAAGTGCTGGCAATTGATTGGTCATCCAGATGGGCTCCCCAACCCTGCCCCAAGGCATCTATTGCGAGAGTAGATGATGGAGAGGGGAAAGACCACTCCACGTAGTAGCTTGTCCTGTGATAGCCACCAGTGCAACTGATCCTGGATAAGCTGGGTTACTGGAATCCCTTTGGAGATGGGATTTTGCCGTGGACAGAAGTAAAACAGGAGATGCAGCTGTATTGGGCGCATGTGCATCCTGCACCAGGGGACTAGATCTATGCGACTCGCCATGAGACCTAATAGGTGAAACCACGCCATGCCTGGGAGGATTGGAGAAGACATGAAAACTCTGACACAATCCCGTAGTGTCTGGCATCGTACGAAGGATTGAGAAGCTCTGCCTTTTCTTTAGTTGAGAACTGCTCCACGGTAAGTTTATTGTTGTGAAGGAGTCAGGGAAGATTTCCTGAGATTAATGAAGCAACCCAGAGCTAGGGTCAGTTGGACGGTCTGTAAGAGGGCCTTTTCCATATCCTGGAAAGTAGGTCCCACTATAAGCCAATGGTCAAGGTACAAGAACAAATGGATCTGCCTTTGACACAAGAATGCTGCCACAACTTGGAGACCCGAAGGGCTGTGGAAAGTCTGAAGGGCAGACAATGAAACTGGTACACAGTTCTCTGGTACAAAAACTGAAGGAACTTGTGATCCACATGGATAGGCACGTGAAGGAAGGCATCCTTCTGATACCCACCAATTGTTTTCGGAGACTGGAGAACAATAGAGATTTTCCATCTGACAGTGCTTTGGTTTGATGTTATTGTTGAGTGGTTGCAGGTTGATAATGGGCCGCCATTTGTCGGATTTCTTTGGAGTGAGAAAGAGTTTTAGTCGCGTGTGCCCTTTTTAACGCTTAACACTGCCCTTTTTAATGCTTTACACTATTAACCCTGCAATGTGCAACACAGTTGTATCAGGTGTTAAAGTCTGTGGGACCTTGCTGCATTGAGCACACTACATGACCACCAATGCACAAATGACCAATTCTGAAAACAATGAGATCCAGTCCCACAGAACAATGCCACAGTTGTATCATGCTGCACTTAGTGACCACAGCTTCTGAGGCATTTTGGTTTCTCTCATTTAGTCAAAACTCTTTAGCTACCATATTTATGACTGAAAGATTTATCCTGCAATCACAGTCTTTAAAATTATAAACAGTTGTGCCTTTTAACTACCTCTCTGTTTCGTCTTCATCTTCGCTGCTCAGACTGGACTGCGAAAATCTCCGGAAGGAAAAATTCCCAGCAACCTTATCTGCAACGTCCCGGTCCTTACGGTTGAGCCTTGCCCTGAGGAACTTCTCGGTGGACAGGAGGGATGTGGGAGAGGGCAGCTTGATGCTGCTCCCAGCTTTCAGGTCGTGGAGCTTGATGACAGGGGTTAGTAGAGGGGTCAGGCTCAGTCGGACTTCACTACTTGTTGGGGTGCTGGGAGGGGTGGTGCTAGCCATCTCCACAGATTTACCTGCCAATTGGTTACAATGGTTTTTGGCAAGGCCAATGTCAGTCATTGGTCCAGATAATCATTCCTGTTGCTGTGGTTCAACGCTGCAGTCTAGCAAGAATACCACCCTACGCTAATGACCTCTTAAAACCATACATGAATCCATCACTCTCATTTGTTACCCAACTAAAGATATATTATAGAGAAGTACTTGCATGATGATACTCTATATTTGTGCAAACCTACATTCTGAAAATATTTCTACCCTATTTTCTGGAGGTAATAATTGGGTCCCCTTATATACAAATTTCTTATCTTGTGGTGACAAAGCATCTAATGATTTCAGAGTAATGTTTCTTTAAAACTGTTATGCCAAAAATCAGATAGTGTACAAATGTTCTTACATGTATATGCATATAGGGAGTTCAAACAAGAGGTGTATTTTGTCGAAAAAAATCAAAGACAGCATAAGAAGTTCCAGTTAAAAAATACCTGTGTTCAGAAGATCACCACTTCCAATGAGAAGACTGTTTACCCTGCGCCTTTTGCCCGCATCACTGCTGTTACTATCTGACGTCCTAGAATTTTCATGGCCAACGTAGGACATGGACCTGGACCTGTGGAACTTTTTGACGTTAGTCAAGCCGGAAATCTTGACGTCGGTTGAGGAAGCCGCTGAAGTGGAGGATGACACAGAGTGGGGCGATAGCTCATCTGACAGCACGGATACTCCATTATACATTGAATGTGGGTCTCCATTAGCCAAAATCTTCTCCCTCTTAATAACAACCTTGCACTCATCCTGAAATGGGTTTTTCCTCTTAAGTTGAAATCTGTCAACATTCTTTGAGGATACCTTGAAATCCTTTTTCTCGCGACTTTTGGCATCATTCGTAATGCTGTTAAGGTGCTTCTGCTTGGAAGAGCTTGTTTTTTTGCGTGGCGGGGAGGGTTTAGAGAAGGGCCCCTTTTCCCGCATGATGCGTTCATTGAACGCATCCAGGAGGTCGATACAGTTCCGCAGGTTCTCCACGGGCTCCCAAGTGTCATCGTCACTGCCATAGTTCTTCCATCGGACAAGGTACTCTAGTTTACCCTTGTAGTTTCTCCGCTGCTTGATAATCCGTGTCACCTGTGGAGAAGCACAATAGTATCTTGAGTGGTACAGCATACAAATTAATTTATAAAATGCAAATAGATGTCAACAGTTTAATGAGTGGCACAGCTTTATTTGATTAGCAATACAGGTACAATGTACAATGAACCTCAGCCAATCAAACTTACAAAACTTCTACCTGGAACCTTCACAAGGAGCCTCAACCTCTACCTTGTTTACTACATGTAGGAAGAACCTCCATTTAGTTTCAGAAGAATCTTAAAAAGTTCCTTTGATAGGAACTAATTGAAACATCAACTCAGACTTTTATAAGGTAAACTACCAAAGTTCCTTCAAGAGGAACCCAAATCAAGTTCATTCAAGAAGAACCTTTAAACTAGTGCTGAACCTCAATCAAGAGAAGCTCATTCCTTTAAGAGGAATCTCAAGAGAAACCTCAATGCAGTGCCATCAAAAGGAACCAACTAGTTCTTCAAAAGGAACCTCATTTACCTCAATCCAGGGTATTCAATCCAAGGTACACGAACAAAGTCTAATTTCCTTTCAACCCAGTTCTTTTAAGAGTCATCTCAATCCAGTTTCTTCAAGAGGAACCTCAATCCAGGTACTATGGGGGAACCTCACCAGTTTTCAAAGGGGAACCTCAATCATGAGTACCCATTCACTTCCAGAGGTACATAACCCAGTTTCCTTCCAAAGTCTAATTTCCTTTCAACCCAGTTCTTTTAAGAGTCATCTCAATCCAGTTTCTTCAAGAGGAACCTCAATCCAGGTACTATGGGGGAACCTCACCAGTTTTCAAAGGGGAACCTCAATCATGAGTACCCATTCACTTCCAGAGGTACATAACCCAGTTTCCTTCATTAGAGAAGTTAACCCAGTTTCCTTCACTAGAGAATTTAGCCCAGTTCCTTCAAGAGGAACCTCAATTAAGTTCTTTTTGGAGACACCTTACTACATGTAGTTCTCCATCTGGTTCCTTCAATAGGAACCTCAATCTAGAGAAGCCAGTTCTTTCAAGCAGAACATCAACCAAATATCCTTCACTAGGAAAGTAAACCCAGTCTCTTCAAGAGTAATATCAAAGCAATTCATTGAAGGGGAACCTACAATGTAACCAGATATTCATGAGGAACCTCATTCCGATTCTTTCAAAAGAAACCTAAGCAGTTCTCCTGAAGGAACCTCAATCCAGAACACCCAATTCCTTCAATAGGACAAAATCCAATTTCCTCCACTAGGAAAGTCAACCCAAGAGATACCTGCATGTAGCAAGGTAATTTCGAAGAGGAACCTGAATCCAAAGTACCTCTGGAGCTCTTTCAAGTGGTTCCGAACCTTACCCTATTTTGTTCACTTGGACCATCAATATGATTTCTTCAAGAGGAACCAAAGTAGACCTCTTGGAGGAACCTCTCCAGAGTACCCAATTCCTTCAAGAGGTACATACAATTAACCCTATTTCCTCCACTAGGAAACCAACTCAGCTCCTTTTAGAGGAACCTTGCAAGTTAATCTCCAAGAGGAACCACAAGCCTGAGTAGTGAGTACCAATCTCCTTCAAGAGGTACCTAACCCAAATGAAGAACTTCAACCAATTATTGACAAGAACCACCTTCTTTTTACATCTAGCACATCTACATGTGACCGTCAACCAAACAAAATAATCACAATTCAAAAATAACCGATGAAAAGGAAGGCCTTTTCACGCTTTCTGAGCAGACAAAATGGTAAAAGGTTGACCCGAGTGTCATGTCTTAGCCAGCACAGTTCAATTAGGGGTTGCTCAATGATGGCCATCTCTGTAGGAGAACTGCAACTGCCTATTTTATGCAATCAAGCACGCATTGCGCAGTGTTGAAAATGTTCCAAACATGCGCACTTGTTGCTCGACATGTGTTCGAAATAGAACGCAGCCGATGCGCATTATGCAAGTTGAAGCTCAAAATGCCGATGCACGTGGATGGTCTGTAGGAAATGACGTCATTTGAACGAGACCTATTGTGTGAGGAACAAGGAAGACTCTCAATTTATCTGCAAGTCCTTGCGTTACTGCTACATGAACGTGATGTGTCTTTTTTAAGGAAGGAAATATGATCATGACACTGCCCCAGTGCCCCCGACAGTAACCTCAGATCATGCAGCATTTCCCTTCAGCAAAATCTAAATTCTTATTATGTCTTCCTGTTCGAAAGCAGCAAGCATGACATGTTGTAGGAAGTACATCCTCTTTTTATAAACAATACTTGAACAATAAATTTGCAGAAGAAGCTGTGCAGCACTGTTTCACCCATGTCTGTATAGGTGATTGTGTAGTGTAGGGCCCGGTTCCTATAACTTATAAGGGAAAAAAATCCACTTTAAAATTATTGGAACTACCAAACTAGTTGGTGACATTCTCAATAAACAGGTATGTCCTAGATAGAGGGTAGGGTTTTGATTTTTTGAGGGAAATTTGGGGGTAAAATGATGATGACAGCGCGGCGACAACACGCGACCCGAAAATAAAGATGGCGATCACCGCGATGTACTGTGAGCACGCAGGGCGCGCTGAATCGCAAAGCACAAACCGCGCAGGAAAATCATGATTTATACCCCAAGAAGCTGTTCAAAATTGCAAAACGGGTGTCATTAGATTTGAGAAAAGTCTGCTTTTGATTGTAAAGGTGATTTTTGAGCAATAAAAAACATTTTTGACTCTAATTTGATCAAAACAACACAGGGGCTCTACACTTCATCACCTCTGTATAGACCATGGGGCACTGGCATGTGTCTTAGGCAGTGTGACTTCATGCCAACAGGCAACCATCGGGCAACTCAAACATTTTAAGCATCTTCTGCATGATATTTGGCCTGCATTAATGTCAACGTTTTTAAACCATTCATATTTCAAAAGTGCATGTGTATTATTGTTTATGGCTCATTAGGATTTTTGTTTAATAAACACTATATTTATTCATTAAGTCGAATTAATTAATTAAATCAATAAATTCAATTCATTAATTCAATCATTTGCAAATATTTACTTTTTAAAATAATTACTATTTCATATGCATAGCATTTTTAAGTTGTAAACATTATGAATTTTTGAGCCTGCAATAAAATAATTGTTGAAGTAATAAATTTAATCAATTAATTAAATTAGTAATGCGTTCATTAATTTTTTTTCAAATTATGCATTTTTGAAGTGTACACAGCCCTCGAAATGTTATGCAAGTATTTCTAAAAACAATATTGATTATTGCACCGTCCAATTTATTAGTTGTTTAATTAATTAGTATTTTTTTAAGAATAAGGTTAAGTACTTTTTTAATTGTAGAATACATGTAATGTAATTTAAAGCATTTTAAAAATAATGTAAATGATTACTATAACGTCAAAACTTGAACAATTGAAGGGATCATAATCACTCTTTTTAGGTTAACAGCGGGTTACACCTACTAGGAAATTGTAAAAAACAATTTCTTCATCAATAAAAATCCCTCCCGCAAGAGAAGGTTGCGATCGCCTTTGCGCAAGTTTAAACTTGCGCACGCAAATTAAAATGGCGCGGTGTAATTTGCGTACTTCAGGAGTCCCTCGCGCAGGTTTAAACTTGCGCCCGTAAGTTTAAACTTGTGCTCGACAGCATGATCACATGACCACAATATCCCATTAAAAAAAAAGTCACATACAGTCTATCTATACATTTAGGGCAACTGGGATGTAGGGTGATTAGGGAAAACAACCAATCTGGTGACTATTTGGGGGAAACAATTCTTCAGTGATATTTTTTCAGCATGTTTGGATGTCCAGCAAAATCCTGTTGCAAGTTTGCTTTCATTTTTAAATGTTAGTACATCATGTCATTAGCCCATGATCATTCACAACCTTTGTGACAAAGCATGAAAACCATATATCATGGTACTAAAATATAAAAGTAAACATGTCAAACTCAAACTAGGCAAATTTGTCACTATTTGTCTGATGTTTTGAATTGAATTTAAATTATCAGAAAACTGTTCTCCCTTATTTTAACACAACAGACATGATCATACAAAAACAGGTAGGCCTTTATAGGCCCAACCTTGCTCGGCATGGCCCAGCAGAAAGACAACATTATCATTGTCATTGAGCCACCAAAACTTGCAAAAGAAAAAAAATCCAACATTAAGCAACAACAAAGTTACGAAAGCCCATTAGCGCCACTGCAAGTATATATGTTACAGAATATGTAATTCGTTATTACGGATTATTAATTCGTTATTACGGATTATTTAATTCGTTATTACGGATTATTAATTTGTTATTACGGATTAATAATTCGTTATTACGGATAATTAATTCGTTATTACGGATTATTAATTCGTTATTACAGATTATTTAATTCGTTATAACGGATTATTAATTCGTTATTAGGGATTATTTATTCGTTATTACGGATTACTAATTCGTTATTACGGATTATTTAATTCGTTATTACGGATTATTTAATTCGTTATTACGGATTATTAATTCGTTATTACGGATTATTAATTCTTTATTACGGATTATTAATTCGTTATTACGGATTATTAATTCGTTATTACGGATTATTTAATTCGTTATTACGGATTATTAATTCGTTATTACGAATTAAGTCCGATGTTCTCACACGTGAAGAGCACGTGACCAGGGGCCTATGTATATAACGCCGCTAGGCGGCGCTTTCTTTGCATACAACGTTTGCACTCCTGTGCCATACTTGCCGAGTAATGACCCAGAACGTATGAGTAATTCGTAATAACGAATTAATAATCCATAATAACGAATTAATAATCCGTAACAACGAATTAAATAATCAGTTATAACGAAATAATAATCCGTAATAACGAATTAATAATCCGTAATAACGAATTAAATAATCCGTTATAACGAATTAATAATCCGTAAAAACGAATTAATAATCCGTAATAACGAATTAATAATCCGTAATAACGAATTAATAATCCATTATAACGAATTAATAATCTGTTATTACGAATTAGTAATCCGTAATAACGAATTAATAATCCGTAATAACGAATTAAATAATCCGTTATAACGAATTAGTAATCCCTAATAACGAATTAAATAATCCGTAATAACGAATTAATAATCCGTTATAACGAATTAGTAATCCGTAATAACGAATTAATAATCCGTAATAACGAATTAAATAATCCGCAACATATATACTTGCAGTGGCGCTAATGGGCTTTCGTACAAAGTTACGAACATAAGAAAAATATAAGTAACACTAACAGCAACGTATGGATTTTGATTTATATCTGTTAGAACTACCTCCATGGTTAGAATAGAATAAACCCGAGTCGTACCTTTGCACTATATGTACTATAGGTAAACGTTTAAAGGTTATTTGACAATACACGGTTTACACCGGGGTCAACAATTACCCGCCAAGACCCAAACTAGGCCTAGGCCCTATACATTCAATCAATGTACATGTAAATTCTACTTTCACCACAATGCAATCTTCCAAAAACTGACACGAGGCCTAGGCCTACCCCTTCAAACGTGTACATTCAGAAACATCAAAACCGGGATCTTAACAAATGTCAACGATCTGTGATGGCAAGTGTCAAGGAATCCAGTATTCTGATGAAATAAGGGGACAACTTCAAACAAAAAGAATAAATTGTAACGCACCTCGAAGTCCTCCGATCCGTTAGAGTGCGCCATTCTTAAGATCCGTCAACACACTCGCTATCCCGTCCGCTTCATGTTATGTGCGTACGTACGTATGCAGCCAAATGTGATCTTTTCCCAGACGTCTTCACACGAAGCTGTCACTACGCTTTGTGAAGGGTACTCGACTATGACGTCATGTAATGCGTCGGTACATCGGTACGGTGTGTGTGTGTACTTGTGTGTGTGTTTTTGTGCAAGCAGTGAACTAGAAATGGCACTGACCGCTTCACGTTTGGTGATGACAAAATTCCTCAGGTTTGTGGAATTTTTCTTCTGGTGTCCAGACAATGAAATGTATGATAAGGGTGTAGGGAAACATTACTGATGCACACAGTTTTAAAAACATTTGCATTTAACCAAAATCACTGCTCGAATTCGAAGTTGAACTCGAACTTCGAAGCCCGGCCTTGCCGGTTGCCTTGAGGGTCCGGGGGGGGGGGGGGGGGGGGGGGGGGGGGGGGGGGGGGGGGGGGGGGGGGGGTGCACAGTGGCAAACCAATTCGACATCTCATGTGGAACAATGTAATTTTTGGATAAGCAACCACGTGATGCATAAGCTTGCTAGCTATTGGTCAAGGATAGCTTGACGTGTTTTGTTTATATCAAAAAAATGCATTGTTCATCATCAGTTCATGCATTGAGAGAGCAGCATAGCCATAGATAGGCCCCTTTATTATTATTGTTGGTGTACCCTAAGTGGCGTGGCTTATTGCCACGGGATTGAGCATGGATATTCTACGTCCATGGGATGGGGATTTTAAATGCGAAAGACACAGATAAAAGCAAAATGGGGACAGAGGAAATAGGTTAAACGGGACAAAAATTACATTTACCAATGGGCAAAAACCCTGGATGTGTGCCTGGTCTCATGCTATCCTCGATCTGCTCTACCATGCCTAGTAAAGCTGTGCAGATAAGCGTTTGCAACAACATTACCAGAAATACTGTTCATGCGTGCACAGTGATTGGAATTCGCGGAATTTATTTGCCAACCTGTCCATCATTTCCATTGAGCCAACTCGACTGCTGTGCGTTCAACTGGAAAGTCAAGTTGTCTGTCCTGGTTGCTGCTACAACGTTATGCGACTCGTCCAGTGTACAACTCGTCCGTTGCAACATACATGGAGGGACATAGTTGGCAAGTGCAAAGCATAGTACTGCGAGTTGGATGCATCCATGGGCAAACGGACGGTTGATGACTAGCCCTACGAATAATATCCCTAATCACTGGACGATTATCTCACATGCGTAACAAAGTGAAGTTAGAATGTCCTGGAAAAGCCAAGCCGCGCGCCACATTAATATCTAGGGGAATCACAGGTGATCACGCAACCTGGATGTTTGTTCTGTGGTTGAGTTGTCTCCGAGTTGAGATGTACAACTGACAATTTGGAAAAAGGTTGAGTTGCTGTTGGCACAAGGGACAAGTTTTCAAACAGACAAGTTGGTTTCAGTTGAGTTTGCAAACAGCTTGATACCAATTGGTCCTGTGGGACTTAATTTTAAAAAACAATCCTCCAGAGCCATAAATTGACCTATCACGGTAGAATCGCGTTAGAATTGTGTCAACGCAGCTTGTGAAATATTGTCCAATTGCATACAAATGGACGCGGAACGCGCAAAATCTGAGACAAACAAAACTTAGTGTACAACAACTCCATAGGGTTGTCTAAGGGGCGTGGCTAAATCGTAAACGGCGATAGGTCAATTAGAAAGAGAAGGTGGTCAAGAGATGGAAAGGTGATCGACCAATGGCGGCATCATCCCTAGAAGACCCTGTAATTAGTATAAAGCCTCTTCAAACCTTGAAGTAAACCTCAAGTTACTGCCCGTTTAATTTCCCATTCTCCCCTTATAGTGCTGATTACCAAGGCTCAAATTTCTTGAATTTTTTTTTTACCTGTAGTTTCTCAAAGTATGATTTCTGTTCAATTAAGTTTTCGCTCGTGTCTCCAGGGGCATTTCAAACCATTCTGTTGACAAACGATACATGGCCATTATAGTCGGCTGCCATTGTGTGAAACGTCACATGAATGCATCAATTTCTAATGGTCATCATGTACAAAATGTATGTATATTTTGACTTTAATTCAAATAACACATGACTTTCAGACTACGTTTATTGGATGAAACCGATGAAATTGACTTTGGCTTTCTTAAGTTTTAAGAAAATCAGAGTTGATTGGGACAAAGGTGAAATAAATAAAAAATGACGTCGAATAAACCAGAAATGAAATAACATTTGAATATATCACAGTGTGTCATCAGAGAGGACACCGTTTCTTTACGTTGAGTTTTAATCCCATGTAAAGGTTCAAAGTCCTTTTGTAATCTTGAGGGCAAAGATCATTAGACTTTTAGTAAGGGTATGGTGCACACTACCAACAGCTATTGTACATGAAAATCATATTGCAAAGCAAGTTGTTGATAAGCCTTATTTAACAATTTAGCTGTGGACCTACAAGTTTGTAAGTGATCATTTTCTGTATAATAACGGGTTGATCTTTAGCTGCAACTGTTCATTGTTTAGGGGTAGGCCTATTTCTCCTCACTTTACGGAGTCTCTGAAGAGCTGTACCTGTATACTAGTAATATGCATGTGCCTTTTAAAAATAGATTCCTGAGTGTTGGCCAGAAAAAAAAAATCACAAACCGGGTGAAAATCCTATTGAGGCCACTCACAACTATATGGACAATGTGCGTTACTGTACAACTCAAAAGTAAAAATGCAGAACATTATTGTAAGTGATGGAGTCTTTTGCACCATTTGTTTTGTACCGGAAGGTGCTAGAAGTTTTGCACGGTGAGTTAAAATTGGTCTCTTGCATTATGATTCTATCACTATCAGCAAATTGCTTTAGCCAGCATGGGCAGAACTTCAAAGTCCCCTGTTGGATGATTAGTAAGCATAACTTTCACCTTATCTAGATACTGTGACTGCAAGGAATTTAATTGATTATCCATATACATGTATGCATTTGTAGTGCAGAACTCACCAAGTTGTTTCTGTCACCTTTTTTCAAAGGGCTTTTGCACACATCTGACCACAATTAAGAGGGTAAATTGCGGTAACGAAATTCCATACCGAGTTCATTGGTATTTCGGTATTTGTACAAAATGTACATCAACATTCGTTATTGTTCGGTATAAAAAAAATATCGTCTTCATAAGGTATTATGGAAGTATAGTCCAAGCCTAGTAACCATTGCCCATGATAGGGCATTAGGGACTAAATGCACAAACGGACTTTATTTTTCTTCATCAGACTGGGTAACCACAAGGGGGTGGCCATCGTATCAAGGCACTGCTTTCACCGGACAGCCATCATGGGTGTAACTGATGCCGAGTTCACAGCCGCCAAAGACAGAGTGGGGACCCTGACCCAAGACCCTGGGAATGAGGTTAAGCTCAAGATGTACGCACTCTTCAAACAGGTAATGAAACGCACTGAGTGTATCTTATGTCTGTCCTGAAAATAAAAAAAAAATAATAAATGAAACAACAAACAAACAAAGTAACGGTCTTGAAACTTTAAGCCACTTTCAGGGAGTACGACTAAAAGCTGGTTCATACTCGGAGCAACTTTTCAAGTAAATTCCAAAGAGTCAAAGCTGGTAAATTTTGCAGCAAATGTTTCTTGATTTTCAAATTCGTTTCGCATTATTGATGCGACGTCAAGAATTTGTGTTTGTGTTCGCTTTTACACGGAGTATGAACCGACCTTAAGGTATTTTGAAGTATTTTAAATATTCTGTAAGTTGATAGATGTTAACAAAATTTCAGCGGGTTCTTGTTTTTTTCATGACTAATGGTGGTGACTGTATTGTTTTCTAGGTGACAGTAGGAAAATGCAATGCCCCTAAGCCTGGTGCCTTTGACTTTGTCGGCAAGGCCAAGTGGAGTGCCTGGAATGACCTGGGAGACATGACCAAGGTAAGTGTATCCTGGCTCAACTACTCTGCAGTATTGTAGTCAAGTCCTCACAAGTCCTCTGAAATCCTCTAAAGTCCTCACAAGTTCTCTAAAGTCGTTACAAGTCCTGTAAATCCTCGCAAGTCAGTGCAAGCCCTTGCAAGTCCTCACAAGTTATCACAAGTCCTTGCAAGTTCTCTAAAGTCCTCACAAGTCCTCACGAGTCCTTGTGAGTCCTCGCAAGTCCTCGCAAGTCCTCACAAGTTCTTGCAAGTCCTCAAACTTCCATCACAAGTCAATTACAAGTCCCCTGCTCCAAGGTCAAGTCACAAGCTATTCAAATGAATTGTGACAAATGCTTTTTTTGGTTAATTGTTCATCCCATGTTACTTGTGACTGGACCTGTGATTTTCACGTAACGGAATTGACTGCTGGATCATTTCAACGGAAGGCAAGTTGTCGCAGTGGATATCTCATGAAGGATGAAAGTCCATAAGCCATGACTGGTCTACAATTTGTGGATACAATAATCCATTCAGTTGTTCATTGCTGATCTGTGTCCTCTTTTCTTTCAGGATGATGCCAGACAGAAGTACGTGGACGTGGTGGATGACCTGGTGGCCAATGACCCCGGCGCCCAAGCCTCAGCCCCGGCCGCAGCTACTGCCTCCCAGTCTGATACCGCCGGATCCTCTGTAGGGGGTTACGAGAATCTGAAGGTGTCTGTGGACAGGGGCGTCTGCACCATCATGATGAACAGGCCCAAGAAGAAGAACGCTCTCAATAGAGAGGTTGGTGGCCCTTACGTTGATTTGCATCCAAAGGCCTTTGAAATCTCCATTGAATGAAACCTCAGTTCTACCCCAAGTTTTCCCTACCATGAAATACGGTCTCATTGGTTGTATCATGCTTGCCTTAGTGGCCAGAACTGGAACAGTGACATGTCATAATGTGAAGGCTATTTAGAGTCCATGTTAGGATCATTCTACAAATTCAGGGTCCAAAGTGTGACTTTTTCCCGTTCCTATTACCTTTGAACTTCGTACTTAGCCATTTAAGTATCATTAGAAATTGTTGGCACGTCCGCATAGTGCGCATAGCATAGTATGTGTGCTCTCTCAGTTTAAAAAAATAAAACGTTATGGTCTATTGCATGGTGGAAATTGTCAAGCTTTTAAATTTGAATCCTTTAAAACATTTTGTCCAAGGCTCACCCCAGCTCAGCGTTTTCAATCCCAAAATTTGTCGTAAAGGTAAAAAAAAAAATTATAAGGGCAAAGTGAAGAAGGATTTGTTCAAATCTTCAAATCCAATCCGTCTTGAATGAACGGAGCCTTTTTTTGTCCTTTGTGTTGCAGACTTATGAGGAAATCATCAAAGCCTTGGATTCGTCAGGAAAAGATGACAGCGTAGTTTTTTCAGTCCTCACAGGTATTCTCCCAGAAGAAGTCATCCGGCAGTGACATTTATTATTATGTCACTTTGATTGTGACTTCCCCATAGGTTTACAATTGGGCCAAAAAAAAAAATACACAGAACCTAGAAAATCACGCAGAACCTAATGTTTAAACAAAAAAAAGTACTGCACCAAACCTATGTTTTTGCAGACATTGTTCTGCATTTAAAAAGAATTTTTGGTTGGTTGGTAGTGTGGTCTTGCTGTACCAGGCAGTGAAGCCTATAAACAGTGCAGCAATCGCAGAATGAACATTTGATTCGCATTGACCAGTAACTGTTGAGAATGCATGCAACAAAGGGTTGAACAAATTAAGTGACCATCATCAAACCCTAGTTTTCCTGCTATACAAATTTAGAGTTTTATCCACCAACCAACCGACACTCGTTTTCCAGTGCGCTAGGAAACCTTGTTTCCTTTAGCCTTACTCAGTCAAGTTTTGGATTATTCTTGAGAAACAAATAAGATTGTATTTTTTTGTAGTACAGTATGTTGAGCAAAACTGCTTTGCAGTAACAGTAGTACATGTACTTACTTTTATTTTGGTCAAAAGCTTTGCCAAATCCAAAACAATTTTTTGTTTAACTTTTAGGGGAAATTAGACAGATAGACAAACAATCCTACATGTTTTTGTGTTCTTCTCATGCAATACTATTTCTACCATTTTGACACCGATTGTGATATTTATGATTGCATGTATATTTGACCAAAATATTTAATGAACTTTGGTCAACCGATGTGTTTCTCCTTTTTTTGACCTTAGGAGCTGGTGATTTCTACTCCGGCGGTAACGATCTCAACAACTTCATGTCCATCACACCAGACACCATGAAGCAGGCGGCAAGGGAAGGGGGAGAACTCCTGCAGTAAATATTGAATGATTTGTTTGGTTTCGTTTTATGAAATTTGAAAAAGATGCGTGACGTTTTCTTTCGTGAAGATTGCCTTAAGCAAGTTGCCTATAAATTGCCTCGCACGACACGGCCCTAAAAGATTAATACATGGACATTCAGAGACCATTTCATCACAAGTCCAGTTTTGAGCATGTCTGTTTTCTGTTTCAGACGCTTTGTCGCTGCTTTCATAGACTTCCCCAAGCCGCTCGTTGCAGCTGTGAACGGACCTGCCGTTGGTATTCCAGTCACCTCATTGGCCCTGTGTGATGTTGTGTACGCCACAGACAGGGTGAGGTGAAAACTAAACAAGTCTAGGTTGTGACTCACAATCCATAAATCAGCCCGAAGTTACCAGAAATGCGGCCTTGTTAAGCTATTATCCTTTGCTGTACCACACTCCAATCCACCTTAATATTTGGTCTGTTCTGGGCCATAAGCCCTGCCTTTTCAACACGTGGGCAACAATACGTGCATTTCCCACGGTGCAATCGGTTCTGGCTGCGATTGGTCAAAACATCATCGAGCATTGCTTCATGTATCAGTCTATCCAAGCATTTACAAAGTTATAATGTACCCAATGTATTACATTGTACTACACCTTATATATTCCTTGATGAATTCATTAAACCACAGAGTGTTTGGACGGCTTGGGGTGCTAGCACTGTGAGGCATTACAAGAACTAATGGGTTATTGGCCTATAAGTATGGTCGGTTTAAAACGACTTCAATATTGGGTTTTGCCGTTCACTGACGTATTTTCTAAACACAGTATTCTTGGTGTTACCCCCAAGTGATTGTGAGATTGTGATTTTTTTTCTCACAATCACTCGGGGGGGGGGGGGGGGGGGGGAGTGGCAACACTGAGTATATATATCGGTGAAGGGCTAAACCAAATACTGAATTTACATCATCCCGACGCAAATTCCATCTTATGAATTGCTCAAACAACTTGTAGTCAGGCTTGAAAAGGTTTGTCAACTGCATAATCATGTTTTATGCATTTTTCTTCCTTACCTCAGGCAACATTCCATACTCCATTTTCCTCGCTGGGCCAGTCACCCGAGGCCTGTTCATCCTACCTCTTCCCTCAGATCATGGGGCAAGCCAAGGTAAATAATTCCAAGATCATCAGCGGGGATTTGGTACGGGCTTGTCCAGATTCAGAATAACATTAGTTGTGCTCATTTTTGCACCATCAAAGAGAAGCAGTATGTACATGCAGTGTGTCCCTCTCACTGAAACTCTTGAAAGTGGTCACAAAGCCCCATCTTTGTGTTCATGCACTGAGTCTATGGGCCTTATGCACAAGTTGGCCATTTTTGTCGTGTTCCCTGAATGCATTTTATAAATTGTGAACTGTTGCATGGGATGGTGCCAGACTATTTGTTCACTTGTGGCCTCACTTTCATTTTTTGGGGGGGGGTGGCTTAAAACATTAGAGCATGTTTAATCACAACTTTTAAATTATTCATCAGAGCAGAGTGGTATGAATTTGTAACATCATGGCTTTCATTTCTCTACACAAGTTCCAAAAATGAAGATTTTACCTCACTCTCAATCCAACATGGCTGACTCGTGAATAAGGTCCACAAGGTAAAAGCTAGACTGACTAATAATGACTTTTCATAAATACCTAAGACAGTTTACCCATTCCCATTGGTCGGGAGCCAGTCAAGTGGCCGGTCTTAAACGGATGATAAAGACATGGCTGGTCTTAAACACTTTTCCAGTGTCAAATGAAATTTGGCTCCTATGAAATCCAGTGCCTTTTACCATTTTATTGGTTGAACATACACAACCCTCACGTAGGCATGCGCAATACTACCAGTGAGTCTGTATTTCACAAAATTTCCTAAATTCACAACGCACTTGCCACAACTTGCGCCTGCGCGACATCGCGTAGTGCACGCGCCAATCTCCATAGAAGAAGTTGTTTACGTCTTACTCGCGAGTTGGACACTCCATTATATAGCCAGAGGGGTGTTTCGAAAAAATGAAGTGAAATTGTTGAACAAAATTGTTAGAAATTTTTAATTTTTGACTTATTTTGACTTTTGGACCGAAAAGTTTTGATTTTTTTTGACCGAAAAAGTATTTATGAATGGGAATAAAGTATGTGCTTGTTTGGTATTAAACACTATGTTAAAGACCGGTCGGAGTCTTCAGCACCCAGACTCCAACCGGTCTTAAACACAGTGTTTATTAAATCCTCCGAACCACACATTTATTCCCCTATTAGTAATTGACTGACATCAAAATTTGGCATTGAGACAATAGAAAACACACGTTTGGTGAAACAAATTCCGTCAGATCTTCTGAGTGCACACTAAAACAAAGTCTTCTTGTCAGTGAGTAGACATTTATTCCAATGCTTTTGTGCTACAGGCAAACGAAGTGTTGCTCTTTGGCCGCAAACTGACAGCTCAGGAGGCTTACGACAGGGGACTTGTGACAGAAGTCTTCCCAGACGCCACATTTCAACAGGAAATTGAGAAGAAATTCAACGAATTTGCCAAACTACCTAGACAGGTACACAGGAATATGTTAATTAAAAACTGTATTTTTGACTAGGATGTTTGTTATCTTGACCATATTGGCATTCATCAATGAATCTCTTCACTGCATTGAAGACAATTGTCCACTTTTTTAAAGACATTAACTCGCTGTTACTTTATGAGTTTTCTGTACCGGGTACATTGTTTTCAGCATCTTTGAAGCAGGAATTTAATAATTCTATAAATCCCTAAACCCCTCGGCCCTTTTTGCTACCATTCTAAATCCTCCAAAATTTTGCAACAGCACCTAAAACCTTCAAAATCGTCAGACAATCCTGCCTCAAAATGCATTCATCCTCAATCCTCCAAAATCCTCCTTATCACAATATTTTGCACTCATGTTGAAATGGAGGATACCCAGCGCCTCAATCCTTCAAAATCGTCATACAGTCCTGCCTCAAAATGCATTTATCCTCAATCCTCCTTTTCTTTAAACACCATTCATCCTCAATCCTCCAAATCCTCGTGTTTTCAAACGCCATTCATCCTCAATCCTCCAAACCCGCAATGAGGAGTTTGGAGGATTGAGGTGGGTTAGGGATGCTGGTTTTATCCTTGCATAATTGACCCATTTAACAAGTGTCGTTTATGTGACCAAGCAATAATGTTGTGAACACAGAGTAGTTTCTAAATGATTTTAGAAAGTGGAAAGGTTTTGTAAAAATAGAGTCCTGTACCTGAGTTGTGTGATGAGATTTCATAAACAGTCCACTTGTCATGTGTAGCTGAGAAAAAAATTAAGGTGAAAATGCTGGCTGTTTGTGGCCGCAGTGGTATTTCAGTTCTTACAACTTTTTGCTGCTTACACTGAAGGCAATTTGTCTGTTTTTCCTCATAGATAGTTTGCACTGCGGTCATCTTTGAGGTGTATACTTTTGTTAAACGCAGATACGCATGAGTAGACCTATTGTGCATTCATTGTTAATGAATTGACAAAATGAAACACACCTCCAAGATGGCTGCTGAATGCAATCGATTTTATTGCTCCAAAAACAGTCGACCATTTTCCTTGATTCCAACTTAATAATGTAACTTCTCACAACCATCTTATTGTCTTTAATCACCAGTCTTTGCGACTGTCCAAGAACCTCATCCGCGGCGCTGAGCGTGAGAAACTGCACCAAGTCAACAAGGAAGAGTGTGAGCTACTGGAGGAGCGGTGGACATCGGAGGAGTGCATACAGGCCATCATGGATTTCTTTGCCAGTAAATCCAAGCTCTAAATGTTGGAGTCCCTATGCTACATGTTTTGCATTACTGATTTATACATAATGAGGGGGAAGCACAGGCTGAAGTCACTTTGGGTGCCATCTTGAGAGGCCCAAAGCGTATACAAATCATGGGTTTCTTTGCCACTTACCCAAGCTCCAAAAGCAGCACAACTTTCGGGGTCCCTATGCTACAAGTTTTGCATCACTGATTTATACATAATGAGTGGAAAGCACAGGCTGAAGTCACTTTGGGTGCCATCTTGAGAGGCCCAAATCTGTGTTACAAATCATGGGTTTCTTTGTCACTTACCCAAGCTCTAAAAGCAGCACAACTTTTGGTTTCCCTATGCTACATGTTTTGCATTACTGATTTTTACATGCTGAGTGGAAAGCACAGGCTGAAGTCACTTTGGGTGCCATTTTGAGAGGCCCAAAGCGTATAAAATCTGTGTGACAAATCATGGGTTTCTTTGCCACTTACCCAAGCTCTAAAGGGGCAACTTTTGGTTTCCCTATGCTACACGTTAACTTCACTGAATATCCATAAACCGAGTGGAAAGCACATGATAACATTGAGATTCAGATTTAGAATTCAGCTCTTGCTCAAGAATCAGTTTTAGAAGCCCGTGTTCAAAATCATCTCTCAATGTTGGCCATAATTATATCATCAGACGCAATGTCCCCGAAGCTGCAGTACATGAGCGTATGTGCACTGTGCACCGTGCACAAGTACCCCCTCAATGGTAACAAGGGGAGAGTTGGGGGAGACCACTGAGAGGGACACTCGAATGTATTGCTGATGACTCTTGATACTCACACAAAGACACACTGGTTTTGTGCACATTCAGAGGATATTACAGGGACAAAGGGAAACACAAAGCCTTGTCCTCGGAGGTATAGTAAAACAAGGGTATGCGCATGCGGTGTGTCCCATCCACTGGGCTCTCGAAAGTGGTAAAAAGTGCCCGCTCTTGTTTGTGCACGGAACCCAACTGGAGATGAAACCGTGGTTTCGTAAACCCCCATTAACAAAAAGATATCATATAATTTCTAGTAGCTTTAGCCGAGTAAGTATCTGACTCTGAAGTGTTGCTTTCTGGAAAATTGTATGTAACTTGAGATTTATATTTGGAAAGAAAAAATAAGATGCAAAAGGAAGACTCTGCATATTTATATAGAGACCACATTGATCATTTCATTTTTGAGGATAGCTTTTGTCATATACATGTACATGGACTGAGATTAAACAAATGTTTTTTTTGACCAGATGTTTTCATTGGATGGAATGCAAATAAACGTTAAATAATGAAAATACAAGAAGTTTGATTTGTTTGTGTTACAAAATGGTGAGGCAAGCTTTTTTGGGGGTCTATTTACTGATCTTGCCATCCTATATAGGTTGGCGCGGACATCCGGGAATTTTATACTTTGGCTTATTTATCTAGCTCCGGCTCCCAGTCCTATATTCTTGAAACTCAATGGTTCTTGAGTCTGGACTGCTGAATGGTAACACGTAGCATAGAGCACGGACGTAGCAACCGATAAAAACTGGTGTGAAAATGATTAGATGTTTTTATCGGATGACGTCAGCCCGCCTCCACCTATATGTGTGGCATTTCAGAATATTGGGGTTTTTTTTCGAGTGCAGCGTGCATTTGCGGTCGTGCTCACAAGACTAGCATTAGTTTCATCTGTTTAATAGACGAATGGAGTACGCGCGCGTGTTGGTTCACGGGCTGAATAGGGCGCTAATGTCTTTTACACACATTTTGTGCGCGTAACCCAAATTACGAGCGACACATTCCCGTTCGCAATATCATCGATAGGAGTTGCGCAATAGGGTGGATCTCAAAGTGATCTCAAATTACAGCCTATCAATAAAGAGAGTGAAGGGACGGCGATTAGTGTAGAGGTAGGCCTATGCAATTCCACAAGTGCCATATCTTTTAGAATTGAGCTCAGAAAAAAAGCTGCGAAACAAATTACTCCGCGCGCACGCTTTACATTGAATACGTAATTATTCTTCTTAGAGGGCCACTTGTATAAACTTTTGTAAAGTCGGGGCGCTTTGAATGATGATCCATCGCCTGGGGCGAACGCGTACGCTGAGTCGTTGGTTAAATCAGTTCAATGGGTTAATGATGACATTTTGGATGGGAGCGAGAAGTTTTTGTTTGGACGGTTTGTCATCAGGCAGCCCATTAGGCTTGTTTGTCGATGCGATGGGGTGAAGGGGTGAAAGCTGTTTATGTGGCGAACTGACCTCGACAAGGAGCAATCGAGCAGTCTGGCAGCTCCGGACCTAACCGTGTTCGTGTTCTTGATGACGCCTGACGTGGTACTGTTGAGCTTTTCCGGCTTGGTGATTCTGCAATCTGCATGAGCAAAACCGCATGACTGAGCAGATACCGAGCAAGTTGAAGGTAAGGATAAATCATAGAGCAAGGATAAATATGGATAAATATTGCGTTATTTCTCTGAAGGCCGTTTTGAACTCTGGATTGGCATTGGAAACTAAGTAAGATTTGAGGCTTTGCATGGTGGAGATACTAAATAATGAAAGGTTTGCGGAAACACCATGTGCGAATAATTTCTCAAGTAAGAGAATGATTCTGAAAAGAACCAGAGGTATAAACTTACCTGAAGACGGTCAGAGCATACTGACGTCGAGTTTATACCTCTGGTTCTTTTCAGAACCATTCTTTTAGTTGATAAATTATTCGCACATGGTGTTTCCGCAAACCTTTCATCATTGGAAACTAATTTAGTCATGTGAAGATGTGTCCCATGGTTGTCCTTGATGACCTGTACCTGTCAACGCACGAACCATTAAATGGATCATCAAATGAATTGTTTTTAATGCTGTCATTTTAAGGCATCAATTATGTCCGATTTATCTTTATTTTGAATCATATTGCCATTTACAAAGTACCTCTTTGGTGTTGCTGCTATTCATGAGCAAAACAGTGTGAAGCCATTTTATCTTAAGGCAGAAACTTTTTTGAGGTTCACACTTTTGAACAGAAACCCAGTGTGTGGCCGGTCAATGTTAAAATTCCGGCCTTGTAACAAATCGTGTTCTGAGACTCACTTCGCAAACTTATATGGCTTCACACCCAACCTCGTCCCCGAGGATGTCGAGCAGTACGCGCCCACCACTACCTGCTCTCCCACCCTGGTATTGGATCATTTGCATATGTGCAAGATTTTTGAACACGTTTGCAAATGAGGAATAGTCTGGGGCCTGCATGTGCGTTACATTAGCGTTTGTTTTTGTATGCGGTGTCTGGGGTAAAAACAGTATCAATTCGTCGCGCCGTGAGTTATAAAAACGCGATTTTTTTGGAAGTTTAAATGTTACAATCTGGCCCGCCAATATGCAGTTTCACATTTCATGTCTACATGAGCAAACTGGAAAGAAAAGGAGTATTATTGAGAAGGCGTGGACGTTATAATTACAATGATCGTGAAAACACGTAATGCACGTTGGAAATAACAACACAAACTACACGATATAAATCCATTATTAGCAAATTGCGGTATCGAATCAGGATACAGGAAAAACAATTCTATCCAGGGCTTACTATTGGAAGCGAGGTTGGAAATAAAGTAAGCACTGGGGACGAGGTTGCTTCACCCCGGCCATACCGCTGACTTCCTGAATGGATTGTCACGTAATTTACGTAATTTACGTAACCATACATGTATTAGGCAAAAAAGTTTAAGCGCCCTGCCTTTTTGATAAAAAGGAAGGAGAAGGCCCCTTCCCCCCCCCAAAAAAAAGACCGGCCGGTCTATTTTTCAAGATGGCCGCCAGCTTTTTTTTAAGTAGCCGCCACTTGGACTCAGAAAATGACATTACCAGCTTTATATGGGCTAGATGCAACAGACAAAGAGGCCAAAATGATGTCACTGTTTCAAATTTATCATTTGTTTTCGAAAGGAGGCGGCCTCCAAAAAGGAAGCGGGCAGGGACGCTAAACATGTTTTTTTTTATTTGGCCTAAATATCATACGATGTTGTTCGACAATGTTCTGACATTGACTACAGCGATTCCATTTAAAAATCCAATTGCAACAGTCATTAAAACTCAAGGAGGTTTCCCTTGTGCTTTGGCCACGGGTATTTTATCTCCCCCGACAGCCAGCGGACTTTGTATAATTCAATCTGCGAACCAAGGGCGGATCCAGGGGGGGCCAAAGGGGGCCATGGCCCCCCCCAAAACGAAACCAATTTTTTTTTTTTAATGTGACATCGCAATAAAGGCAGGCAATGAGTTCACCACCATCTTTTCCTCCAAAAAAATTGGTTAAAGTGGTCAGAAATTGCCTCAGATCGCACCACAGAGCATCTAGAATCCAAAATTTTTCGGGGCCCTAGCGGGCCCCGAACCCCACGCCGTAATTTTTTAGACCCACTTTTTGGGGGACCAAATTTTTTTTTGGCCCCCCCTAAAATTGTGTTCTGGATCCGCCCTTGCTGCGAACCATCGCAAATTCGATTTCATTTTGTCATACAGCAAGGAACAGATTTTGTTAATCATCCCCCCGTCTGGATTATCTTGACCGAAACCTGTCCACCATTTTGTGTAGGTGTGGATTTATACATAGAGCAAGGAACAGGGTCGGGCAAAGAAATCAGTTTTCGACTCAATGCAGGGTCACTTCAAACCGAAAGTGGTTTATACAACTTTCAATTCGTCTCCGCCCCCTGAGGAAACTTTTGTGAAATGTGGCACCTTACATTTTGCAGCTTGTATTGGGGTAGCTAGCTAATCATCGTAAAAAAAATACATGAAGAACGTAGATGGAGGCCATTTAAATCGCGACCATGAAGGCCGTTTGGAAAATGTATTGCTTTGTGTTCGCACTTTTTTGGTTAACCGCCGTTTCCTTGTTCTACGGTTTTTGTGTCCTTGTAAAGCCATATTATTTCTAACAAGACTTTCCCTAGAAAATAATGGATCGGTCCAAACTTATCGTCGCGTTGACTTGAAATTGGAGTTGTGAAGTCACAACGCAAATAGAAGCATTTCTGACAGCTAGCAGTAGCAGACGACTGCGACTGTGTGCTGTGCCGCCGTGCTGCTCGGGCGGCAATATTAATGGCCAACGTTCCCGAAGGACGGAATGTGAAGTATTAGGTCTCATATTTTGGTGTGACAAGAGCCATATGATGGCAAGCTGCGAAGGAAATATGTGAGAAATATGTTGCGATAATATTTTGGTGAAATTGTTCTGTCGGGCCCCGGGCCATTGGAATTATTTTGGACTCTAACTGCATGTTGTGCCGATCGTATGTATTGTGTTGTGGTACATGTTTGGCTACATGGATGTGCTTCGTTGCTGTGGATTGAACTTCTGAAGTATAGCTTATGATCCACCGATGGAATAACAAATTACAGGTACAACTTCAACTTATTTTGTGTTTTACTTTTGATTTGTTGTGAAAAAAGTTCATGATTAAATGTGATGTGAGAAATAGGTCAGGGAATTACTCATTGTTTTGTGTCATTTTATGCCGGTTTTTAGATCTTGAACATGCTGTCATAGTTCTGCTTGGATAAGTGCGAGTTGGGTGACGTGCATACAGATTTTCTATGGATGAATAGGCTTTTGGTATAAAGAAACCTTTGCATGGGATCATGTACTACAGTCATGACAGTGTACCGGACCATGAAGGAACATTTTTCCGTTATATGATACACCTTTTGCATTGTAGGTATCTCAGACCAGGCTCTATATAAAACTGCAGGGGCATGAGTGCAGTAAGTGTCCAACATAACATATGACTTTAGTGTATATAGGGCGATCACGCCGACAATTTCCTGTATTGGACAATGACAAGTGCACATCGATGTTCATGTCAAGGACAGGATGTACCAATCATTAACATCCAGCATGCAAATTGCCTGAATTACGTGAAACAATAATCCGTGCAGCCGTGGAGGATAATGTTTTTTCAGCATCGGAAGTGGTTACCCACAGAAAAGCAAACTGAATTGGGCCGATTTATACCACCCAAGCCTAGGGTTTCGGGGTGTGCGTGCAAACACATACCATAACAACCCAACAAACACCCCAACAAACCAAAATCATTTCCTCCTAATGATTTCGCAGAGCTTGCATCTGATATGGATAGGCCCGGATTCAGGCAACCTCGTTTCAATGGCGTCGAGCAGTACGCCCCCACTATAGCTGCGCTACTATTGTCTGGAGGTGCAAAGTAGATCTTGGGAACGATGTTCGGGTAGTAAGAGCTCAGAATATTCCTTGCAGCGTTTTTGAGAAAAGGGCTGTGAGAAATTCACGCAAATCCCGTTGCTTTTAGGGTTTGAGCAACAAACATAATAATGCGTCCTTGCTCAATGAGCGATTACAGCTTTGTTTTGACCATTTTCCTACCTCCATGGTTTTGACGGATATGCGGTGATGAATGGATCTGGATTAAGTAATCGTTCCGTCTGTGCCCGATCAAGTTCAAGAGGACATTTCAGTTTCTCCTTTCCAGACATCTCTGCCACCGATCTAAATAGGTCAAAAAGGCGGGAAATATTTATGTAGACGAGTGGGAGTTATGGCTTTACTAGTAGCCCACACGTAAAATCCAACTAACATATGGTTTCCTACCTCCATGGTACCACCACCACCTAGGCCTTGTTAGTGAACAAACAAGCAAACCAAACAAGTTTTCATTGTGTGTAAATTGGCTCCGTGGGAGGGTAACTCGAACCCAAGTTTATTAACCCCCGTTGGACGAGCGATTGTTTTCACAACGGATTGACTTCCAGTAGATGTGGGGCCCGAAAACCTTCAATAATGTTTGTAAGACGACATGCCTGTAAGGTATGTTTTCGTATTCTGGAACTGATCCCGATTTGAGCTTTTTAAGAAATGGACCAAGTTTACTTCATGAATTAAGTCGGAGCTAGGAAATTTGGTAACTCTCTGTCTAAATGGGAGGTTTTGCTGGCAGGTGTATTGCACACGTTGCTGCTTGTGATGATCTCCGACCTAGCGTTTGATTGGTGAGCCGTCGAGAGGGTAAGTGAGGTCACATCAGCTTGAGGTGTTAAACAGTTTATGGAAACTGCTATCGAAGTATTTGCGGGTGTCTCATGGGTCAATTGACGATCGACAACTTCAACCATAGTAGAGCAAGCTGCATGGATCGTCTCGACCACAAATACCAACACGATATTATCTTTCTTGTGGTCACACTGACGTAAATTTAAGCTGCTATTTTATAAGAAAACTTGATGCCGAATTTGCCGATACCATCTTGCGACCAATATCTGTTGCTAAATCAGATGGCATGAATTTTACTTGCTTTATCTCGGGGTCTGTTTTTTTCTTCTTCTGATTTATGATCTTACCATTTGGACCGGCGTGTCATGCGATATTATGACATTCTCCTCTTATAA